GGTGGATACCAATGGTCTTGTGTTGATAATATTCACGGGAAAGTTTAAGGACAATGTTATGTAGGCGAGTTTATCGTTCTAAGGGCTCTTGAGAAAGAAGCTAATGAGAACACCTGATTTTTTTTTTTTCAACAAGTCGGCCGTCTCCCACCGAGGCAGGGTGACCCAAAAAAGAAAGAAAATCCCCAAAAAGAAAATACTTTCATCATCATTCAACACTTTCACCACACTCACACATTATCACTGCTTTTGCATAGGTGCTCAGAATACAACAGCTTAGAAGCATATACGTATAAAGATACACAACATATCCCTCCAAACTGCCAATATCCCAAACCCCTCCTTTAAAGTGCAGGCATTGTACTTCCCATTTCCAGGACTCAAGTCCGACTATATGAACATAACCGGTTTCCCTGAATCTTTTCACTAAATATTACCCTGCTCACACTCCAACAGATCGTCAGGTCCCAAGTATCATTCGCCTCCATTCACTCCTATCTAACACGCTCATGCACGCTTGCTGGAAGTCCAAGCCCCTTGCCCACAAAACCTTTACCCCCTCTCTCCAACCCTTTCGAGGACGACCCCTACCCCGCCTTCCTTCCCCTATAGATTTATATGCTTTCCATGTCATTCTACTTTGATCCATTCTCTCTAAATGACCAAACCACCTCAACAACCCCTCTTCAGCCCTCTGACTAATGCTTTTATTAACTCCACACCTCCTAATTTCCACACTCCAAATTTTCTGCATAATACTTACACCACACATTGCCCTTAGACAGGACATCTCCACTGCCTCCAACCGTCTCCTCGCTGCTGCATTTACCACCCAAGCTTCACATCCATATAAGTGTTGGTACTACTATACTTTCATACATTCCCTTCTTTGCCTCCATAGATAACGTTTTTTGACTCCACATATACCTCAACGCACCACTCGCCTTTTTTCCCTCATCAATTCTATGATTAACCTCATCCTTCATAAATCCATCCGCCGACACGTCAACTCCCAAGTATCTGAAAACATTCACTTCTTCCATACTCCTCCTCCCCAATTTGATATCCAATTTTTCTTTATCTAAATCATTTGATACCCTCATCACCTTACTCTTTTCTATGTTCACTTTCAAATTTCTACCTTTACACACATTCTCAAACTCATCCACTAACCTTTGCAATTTTTCTTTAGAATCTCCCATAAGCACAGTATCATCAGCAAAAAGTAACTGTGTCAATTCCCATTTTGAATTTGATTCCCCATAATTTAATCCCACCCCTCTCCTGAACACCCTAGCATTTACTTCTTTTACAACCCCATCTATAAATATATTAAACAGCCATGGTGACATTACACATCCCTGTCTAAGACCTACTTTTACCGGGAAGTATTCTCCCTCTCTTCTACACACCCTAACCTGAGCCTCACTATCCTCATAAAAGCTCTTTACAGCATTTAATAACTTACCACCTATTCCATATACTTGCAACATCTGCCACATTGCTCCTCTATCCACTCTATCATATGCCTTTTTTAAATCCATAAATGCAATAAAAACTTCCCTACCTTTATCTAAATACTGTTCACATATATGCTTCAATGTAAACACTTGATCTACACATCCCCTACCCACTCTGAAGCCTCCATGCTCATCCGCAATCCTACATTCTGTCTTACCTCTAATTCTTTCAATTATAACCCTACCGTATACTTTTCCTGGTATACTCAGTAAACTTATTCCTCTATAATTTTTACAATCTCTTTTGTCCCCTTTCCCTTTATATGAAGGGACAATACATGCTCTTCGCCAATCCCTAGGTACCTTCCCCTCTTTCATACATTTATTAAACAAAAGTACCAACCACTCCAACACTATATCCCCCCCTGCTTTTAACATTTCTGTCATGATCCCATCAGTTCCAGCTGCTTTACCCCCTTTCATTCTACGCAATGCCTCAAGTACCTCCACCACACTTACATTCTGCTCTTCTTCACTCCTAAAAGATGGTATACCTCCCTGGCCAGTGCATGAAATTACCGCCTCCCTTTCTTCCTTAACATTTAAAAGTTCCTGATTCTAATGGGTTAAATAATAATCACTGGTAGGTTTACTGTATGCCATATAAAAAAACCATTGTATTTTCTAATGACGTTTATAAGTGATTGGCAGCCCCTCTTCTTTGCTATCATTTCTGAACGTCATTAGAAAACACAGTGGTTTTCTTTATAATGTATACAGTAAACCTACGAATGAAGATAATTTAACCAGTTGTTACTGCAATGAGAATATGTGGTGCTGAGTTGTTTAACAATAACTTGTCTATATAACCAATACATTCAAGCCTTCAATTTTTCCTATGAATAGTATCAACACTTGCCAAAAAAAGGCCATTAGTATGCACAAAATTCCTATTATTATTATTATTATTATAATAAAAAAGAAGCGCTAAGCCACATGGGCTGTACAGCGCTGACAAAATTCCTAACGTTGAGAAAAACACTATAAGAAGATAAACCTAGTCTCTATTTTCAGGAAAGTTAAAATGGACTCTGCCACTGCCACCACAAAAACTCTCAAGGACTTAACACAAGCCTAGCTAAACAACAGTGGCCAACTATACCACAAGTGTATATACCATCTCCTGTAAAGGCTACAACAAAGTGTACATGAGGGAAACTGGGAGAACATGAGCATAACTGCCACATCAACAAGCAAAATGCTCATGTAGTGTGTAGGAAAACTTTCCTGCATCTTATAGATTGGGTATGGGCTGAACTCAACATCATGTTGGTGTGGTTCTCTTTAATGGAGTCTTTTGAAGCAGCCTTAATTATGAATATAGACATTTATATGGGCTTTTTGCCCATATAATATGCAAGAGCAACAAACAAATCAACATTCCCGGGCAGTTGACCATGGCAATAAGGCTATTGTGCCATGCACAAGCCAAATAAGAACAAAGAATGGAAGAGCACTGCAGGAAGTCCATTGATCTATGCTAGGCAGGTCCTTTTCAAATTCAACTTTTTTCATTCAGTAGTGAAACCTGTTTTTAAGCTACCAAAGGTTTTACTTTCACTAATCTTTGCTGATAGCTCCTTACTTGACACTACCTTCTCTACTACATATATATATTTTTTCTTTAATGCGTCAGCCATTTCCCACCAAGGCAGGGTGACCCAAAAACAAAAATATACATACTGCATGTATGACCATGTCTGATTTCACTTGAAGTTCACACATGTTAATGAAATGTATACCTCAAATAATAAAGGTTTATCTTTTTTTTTATGACTACTTTAGGAAGAACATTAGCTTGCATTTCAATATTCACTAAATTTAAAAGTTAACCAATATCACAGTACTTCTGATGAATATTACAAATAAATGTTTATAGGCTGGAATACACATCTACAGGCTTACAAAGGCATGATTCAAGCTATTAATGTTTGCAAAATTATGGTTTTTTTTTTTTGTGCCGCACAAATTCCAAATGTTTGTTTTCTTGTGAATATAGTAGGTACCCACTGCTAGAAAAGTTGACCTAGTCGGTGACACTTAACAACTGTGCAAATGTTGCTTCATGGCCACACAATGGAGCTCAAATGTCAATGTTTGTAAATGAAGAATTAACATAAGAATCGTGGCATTTAAACACTAAATTTATTGAATTGGGCTTTTGGAATTAAAGACAAATCTTTTCTTAAATTTTCATTGTTAAAATAGTTATAATCTAATTGAATATATTACATTTTCAGAATATTATTAAGACTTTGGTCATTAAAAAACTGCAGCCTTTGACCAGTTCTTGATACACCACAATAATTTGAACTATCCACATTGAAATAATCAGTTACTAACAAAATGCTTACCATATCTGAAATTGAAAAGGATGGACAATGTATTTTTCACAGAAAATTAAAAACTGTTATATACTAAATTATGTTTATACATTAATTAAAATCAACGACTTCACTCTGGTAATGTACTTATAGCCAGTTATATGAATGTAGATTGGACAACAAAATAAACTAAGTGTAGAATAAACTGAAATTATATATCTTCAAATTATATGAAAAAAAAAAAAAGCTAAAATATAAGGAGAATTTATTTATGAAGTTGAATGTTAAAACCAAAAAAGTTCCTTACTCTTTATTTTCATACTTTCCAAGCTTCTGCCCAAGTGTACTTGACACTTCTGCATATCTAACTTTCCCACTTATCACAATATGCAGAACTTTTGTATCACTCGAGGCATCTTCCCAACTGAGCGTACTGGGCTATCCAATGGCCATGTCACTCCAGGAAGACTACCCCCACTATTGATAACTTTTGTACGGGCCACAACTTGCAGAAAGACAAATATTGGCTTATATGGAATCCTGACCTTGTATTACTGTAATCTTTATTCTGTAGGTTCATAATCCTCATCTTCAGCATCCTCCTCCTCCTCATCATCATTTTCTTGAAGCCAAGCACTTAGTGATGCATTAGATGGGTCAGAAGGATTTCCATCACCATTTAGTTCAAAGTATACTGCACCACCAGATGAGTCTGAATCTTCACTATCTGAATTCTCAAATAAAAGACTTGAAATATTGCTGAAGTTACCATCATCATCATCGTCACCATTGTCTTCACCATCATCGTCATCATCTCCACCCTGGCTGCCTTCTGAAAAATGTACATGATGCAGTCACACCTTATGGTCTGTGCCAATTTCTTCACATTACCCCTTTTAAAACACTGTTAATATTCACCGCTTTTTCTCCCTAAGAAATGGGAGCTGCACACTAATTTTATTTTCTTTCTTTCTTTCAACACACCTGCCATATCTCACCAAGACGGGGTGGCCCAAAAAGAAAAATGAAAGTTTCTCTTTTAAATTTAGTAATTTATACGAGAGAAGGGGTTACTAGCCCCTTGCTCCCAGCATTTTAGTCGCCTCTTACAACACACATGGCTTACGGAGGAAGAATTCTGTTCCACTTCCCCATGGAGATAAGAGGAAATAAACAAGAACAAGAACTAGAAAGAAAATAGAAGAATACCCAGAGGGGTGTGTATATATATGCTTGTACATGTATGTGTAGTGTGACCTAAGTGCAAGTAGAAGTAGCAAGACATACCTGAAATCTTGCATGTTTATGAGAGACAAAAGACACCAGCAATCCTACCATCATGTAAAACAATTACAGGTTTTCGTTGTACACTCACTTGGCAGGACGGTAGTACCTCCCTGGGCGGTTGCTGTTTACCAACCTACTACCTAGGGCACTACTTTTATATTCCCTATTAATATAAAAATTCCCTTCTCACTAGAGTGCACTGGAAGAGATTAGTTTTCACTCTTTGTTACTAGATGCAAAAGACATCTGCTTCACTATATAAAGACCTCTTGAGAAATATTCTACATACTGTTTAACACAAATGCCAGTGTCCCAACACGCCATCTGCCAGCTCTCACCTGTGACTAACTTTTCTATTACTATTTACTCCTCGCTAAGCTGCTGCTCCAAAGAATGCTATGTGCTCATGGTAATGTTACTTTAGCACTGTATGACTTACAGGTTTAAGTACTCTCCATGACATTAATAATACTACTACTACTCTACCATCTACAATTTTACTATTGGACCTTTACAGCTTCTCTGATTCAGAACACCCTCAAGTGTGGCTCTTAATCCAAGGAACTGAACTTGCCCTTTCTTGGATCAAACCTGAATGCCTCCCAGGCACTATATGACCCCTATGGGCTTGGTGTTTCCCCATAAAAATAATAATAATCTGATTGAGAATTAAAGTTATTCTGAATCACCTCATCTTTCCACCACAAACGTTAAGTAAAACTGCTGTAAAATTAGTACATTATTATTATTATTATAATCAAAAAAGAAGCGCTAAGCCACAAGGACTATACAGCGCTGCAGGGCAGGAAGGAAGCGAGGGCATCAGGTGGCAAAAGGGAGATGGATGAGTAATAGGTTACGGATAACAGCGGGGTAGTGGATGGTGAAAGGGTAAAGGGCAGCAAGAGACTGAACTAGAAAGGGCTGAGGGGAGTGCGAAAAGTATCATCAGAGTTTGTGGAGTAAATCAGTCGTTGTCAAGAAGTCAATGAGAGAGTCAGGATTAAAGGAGGGCCCCATCAGCAAAAAGGGGAAGGTAAAAGAGAGAGTAGTAGAACGAAGACGACTTTGGAGGTAAATTCTGCGTGCTCGTTGATAGAGGGGGCAGCCCTAACAAGAATGTGGTAATCGATACTGGAACTTGACACTGCTCACAGAGAGGAACGGGGTGCCTCTCCATGAGATACCCATGATTTAAGACGATTTGTGGCCAATGCGAAGGCGGGAGAGAGTGGTCTCCCAACCTCGGCACTGAGACAAGAAGACGGCCAGTAACCTATGCTCGGTTTAATAAAAATGAAGTTTGTTACCGAGCAGAGTTGACCAACGTTGTTGCCAACGGGTGCAAAGGGTGGGTAGCTATTGCAGCAAAATAGTCCAGAAATGGAACACCTCGATAGGAAATTGGTAGGTCATGTACTGCTGACCGCGCAGCAGTGTCTGCCTGTTCATTGCCCTGTACGTTGACATGACCAGGGACCCAACAAAAAACAATATCTTTATGTTTGGTAGAGATACGGCGTAGCCAAAGTTGGATACGGAGAACTAGGGGATGAGATGTATCAAATTTTCGTATAGCCTGTAGAGCACTAAGGGAGTCTGAGACTACTACAAATGATGACACATGCATAGATGCGATACGAATAAGTGCTGCAAGAATGGCATACAGTTCAGCAGTAAAAATGCTAGCTGAAGATAGTAAATGCCCCCGCATGACGCTGTCTGGAAACACTGCTGCGAATCCGACGCCATCTGAAGACTTAGAGCCATCTGTGTACACAGCGGTGGCATGAGAATGGGAGTGGAAGTAATCAAAAAAAGAGAGCGGGAAGCCACCGTAGGCAGTTGAGCTTTCGAGCAAGGGAGTGAGAAAGAACAGACCCGAAACAGCTGGAAACTTCCCAGGGGGGTAGGAAAAGTGAGATGCTACATGAAATATAAAGGTGGTAATGAAGGGAAGACAAGAGTGATGTAGGCGAAGAGAAAAGGGACGGAGCAAACAGGGGCGGCGAACGAATAAAGAATGTCTACTAATATCGGTGACCATTCTATAAATGGAAGGATTGTGTAGATCGTGAGAGCGTACATAGTAGCAAAGGGCAATGGGCATCACGGCGATCAGAAAAGGGATGGAACATTCGCTTCTGTATAGAGGCTCTCAACAGGGAAAGAGCGAAAGCACCAAGGCACAAACTAACCCTTTGGGTGATGGATAGAGTTAAGGCTAGAGGAGTAGCAGGAGAGGCCGCGGAATAAATCTGGTCACCATAATCGAGTTTCCATAAAACGAGGGCTGAATGTAGGCGAAAGCAGAGTTCGACGATCACTCCCCAGGAAAGATGAGCAAGGGTTTTAAGAAGGTTTGGGCCGGCTGTGATAAGTTTGCCTTCAGAGAGGTAATGTGAGGTTTCCAGGATAACCTACGGTAAAAGAGAAGGCCTAGAAACCTGACTGTATCACGTTCGGGGATACGGGAGCCATAGAGATACAAAGGATGATCGGAGATAACAGAGCGTCTAGTGAAAGTAATTTGGCGAGTTTTGGTACTTGAAAATTTAAACCCATGCGTGGTGGCCCAAGTGGAAACACGGTCGACCGCATGCTGGAGAGAAACTGCAATAAGATGACAGTCAGCGCCTGCACAAGCAATAGCGAAGTCATCAACATAAGAGTGATGACCAAATATTGGGTGGAAGAACAGAGGCCAAATCATTTATAGCAAGGAGAAAAAGTGTTGTGCTTAGTCAGCTTGGACAAAGTCCGGGGAAAGAACATTATTGACTCAAACACGGAAATGTCTCTCAGTTAAAAAGTTCTTAAGGAAGGATGGTAGATTGCCTCGGAGGCCTAAGGAATGGGCCTGGGCCAAAATATTATACCTCCAAGTTGTGTCATATGCCTTCTCAAGGTCAAAAAATATGGCAATAACTGAGTGACTATTCGCAAAGGCATTACGAACATATGTATCCAAGCGTAGTAAGGGGTCTATGGTAGAACGAACCTTACGTAAGCCATATTGACTAGCGGAGAGACTGTTGTGTGTCTCTAAATACCACATTAAACGTCAATTTACGAGACGTTCCATCACTTTGCAAACTGCAATAGTAAGAGCATGGGACGATAGTGGGAGGCATCATGTCCTGTAGTAACCCCGGGTTTTCGGAAAGGGAGAACAATGGCAGATTTTTCCCCAGCTGGGGAAGAACTCCTTGTGCCCAAATAAATTGAAGAGGTGTAAGAGGACTACAAGGGCTGACCGATGTAAATGTTTGTAACATACGAATATGAATGTCGTCAGGCCCAGCTGCCGATGATCGGCAAGCTGAGAGCGTTGCCTCCAGTTCTTGAAGTGTAAAAGGCACATTATACTGTTCTTCTCTGAGAGAAGAAAAGTCCAAGGGTACTAACTCTCTGGCAGACTTTGAGGAAAGAAACGAGGGGCATAGATGGAGCCCTCGGGAAATACCGGACCAGATTTTGTGCCAAGTTCAATGGCAACGTCGAGGGGTTTGCTACATCAACACCAGCGCCCGTAGAACAGGACCGGGTCGGAGAGTATTTACCCCTCAAATTTCCCCCACCTTTTTCCAGATGCACTCATAGAAGAAGCAGAGGTGATGGTGGAAACATAGTCTCTCCAACAAGTGCGTTTAGCTTCACGGATGACACGGCGAGCGATCGCACGCTTCTGCTTAAAATCAAGAAGTCTCTCAGCATTCTATTGTACCGGTACCTGCCCCATGCAGCACGTTTCAAACGTACTGCACGAGCACAAGCAGGAGGGCCACCAAGGCACGCACTTCTGGAATGCCTGCCTGAGGTTTGGGGTATAGAATGAGAAGCTGCGGTATAAAAATGACGTTGAGAAGATGTGTAGGAAACTCATCAAATGGAGGATGAAGGAACCCCACTAAAAGCAGTGAGGTGTGAGTAAAGATCCCAATTTGCCGATCAAATTGCCAGCGAGGGCTACGGAAAGGTGGTGAATAGGAAGGAGAAGTAAGAAAGATCGGAAAATGATCGCTGTCAGTAAGTCCCGGTAGAACAGACCAGGTGAAGTCTAGTGCAGTGGAGGAAGAGCAGACTGATAAAATCGATGCAAAGAGAGAGTATGAGTACGAGGATCAAAATGGGTGGGAAATACCCGTAATTTAAAAAAATGGAGGGGGTGAGAGGCGAGAAAAGCCTCAACTGGATGCCACGCGAGTCACAATGAGACCCCCCCCAGAGGAAATGGTGGGGATTAAAATCACCAAGTAACAGAAGTGGTGGTGGTAAGGATGAAACAAGAAAGGCAAAGTCTGGGATAGAAAATGCTCGAGAAGGAGAGAGATATAAAGAACATATTGTAAACCACTTATTAAAAGTGGTTTTGGGCTGCAGGTAATGCACGAGGTATGGCCCAAATATTTTGAAAATTACAGAATTTCTTTTGCGTAGAAGAAGGGCACTTTCTTTAAAAGGTCCTTAAAGAAAGGACCCGAAGAATACAAAAAATTAAAAGCCTGAGATGGGTTTGGGAAGACCCCGATTGAAATTTTTGGTTCTTGTAACAAGCACCAACGGGGGAAAAACCCGGGAAAAGGGCAACCAAAGCTCACCCTGTTACCCCTGAGGGCCGCGGTATTCCACTGAAATAGGCCATGATTGGGGGATGAAAAAAATACCAGGAATCTGAGGTAAAAGCACCTAGGGACTAGAGGGTTAAAAAGTCAAGGGTTGGGGTGGCAGGGGGAAGACGGTTAAAGTACGAAGGAACGGAGGGGTTGCGAAAAAAGGGGGTTTGGTGAAGATGGAGGAGGGGGAAAAAGAAAAGGGAAACAGGAATTTAATCAGTGTCCTTTAAAGGGTTTTAAAGTCTCTGCAATATTTCCCTGAAATGGCTTCAAGTTTTTTCTAAATTTCCCAAAGATGTATGGGAGACCTTATTGGAGTTTAAAAGGGAGGGGGGTTAGAAAAGTTTGGGGACAGTAAATGGACTGTAAAACCCAAAATAGAGGGGGAGGGAAGAGTGAAGGGACTGGAGATGAAGTGTGGGGGGGGGGGCAGAAGAGGCAGGGAAACCCGGGAGGTGGCAGAAAAGGGAGAAAATTGGGGGGGGATGGGGGTTTGGGAAGGGGATAGTACAGGAGGAGGGGGAAAACTCCACAATTGTAATAGAGCCAGAGAAGGGGAAAAACTAGGTAAAAGAGACTGGAAAGGGAAAAATGGGGGGAGGTGGGAAAAAAAGGGGAAAGGGAAAGGGGGAAAGAAAGATTTGAGCAATTTTGGATTTTTTGGACTTTCCCAGAAGTAGAGGGGCGATTGGTTTTTAAGGGGTCGTACAGGTCTTTCGAACTGGGGGTTGTGAGGAAGGAAAAGCGAAATGTGAGAACAGACGAGTTGTAGTTTGGGACGTCAAAAGCCAAGGAAAAGCAAAAGGATTAGATCCGGGGTGGCTATGGGAGGGGTAACAAAAAGAGGAGGCCCGCCGAAGGGTGGGACCCCAAAAAGTGGGGGGGTGTTTGGAAACCCGAGAATAAGAAACACGGGGTTTGTCTTTGGAGGCGGAGATGAGTAACTGCCTTGCATTTAAAGGGGGACCTTCTGCCTCTTTTAGGCAACGGGGTTTCAGTTCCTTTAAGTAGACCTGGCAAAGGCGGGGTTAAAAAAGGGTGAGCTTCATTTCAATTAAGGGAAGATGGAGGTTTACGCAAGAAGTATTAGAATGGTCCCTTTGGGGACCCCAGACTGGGCATTCGGCCCTAGATAGAATATTTCCTTGGGGGACCAAAACGCCAGCAATTTTACTTGTTGCGGTGTAGGTATCACCTTTCGAAAATTTAAAACCGGGTTTCCTGCAACATAAAGGAGGGTGGGAGTTTTCGGCGTCAAAAGTTAAAAAAAAAGACATTGCAAGGGTAAAGTCTTGGGGCCCCCCGGGAGGGAAAGGGAAAAAGTGTTACTTTTAGGATTGGGAGATCCTGGAGTTCCAGCTGTTTTAAAAAAAGTTTATTGCCACATGGGCTGGGAAAATTTTGTTGGACTATTGGGATGGGCCCGATGACAGAAACCCCTAAAAAAGAATTTAGGGGAGAGATGTTTTTAAAAGTGATAAAGGGGAGCCCTCGAAAATTCGAAAAAGGGGAGAAAGATCATTTAGCTTGGGTAGCATTCTGGACAGTGACGGGGTAAACCCCTCCCTTTAGAGGGATGGGAAATGAAATATCTCTACCAACATGACGCAGGAGCGCTTTGCCAATACTATGGTCAGAAAGGTAGGCAGAAGAAGAAGTCGGTCTTTAAAGTAAAGAATTTAGTCCACTGTGTGGTCCGAAACTGAGCGTGGAGAGGGAGTGCTTGACGTGTCGGTCTTTTCCGAGTAGAATGGGAAGGTAACGAAGGAGCATCATCAGGAGATTGACGTTGGCGTTTAGGAGTAGGACCGGAGTTGGTCTGGCGTGAAATCGGCGGGTGATTCGAAAATTGCCGTATCGTAGAGGGAGAAGCCGGAAGCATAGTCAAAGGAGAGCGGAGTTCAGACAAATCGAAGGAGTTAGTCGAAGCCCCGGTACCTGAAGCGGGTGAGGAAACAGCACCAGCAAGAGGTACAGGGGCATCAGGAGTGTCCGAAGAGTGGTCTAAACACAAGGCAGGGTCAGAATGGGGTGCGGTATCAAGAAGGGGCCCGGGGGTAGTGGGTTCATGGATTGGGTTCTCCATGGTTAGGTTACTCCTTTGCTTTTTGTTCTTAAGAAAAAAAAAGAAAGAAAAGAAAATAAAAATAAAAAAAGAATAAAAAAAGGGGGGAGTGGGGAGGAATAGTTCCCAGAAGGAATGAAAGGGCCGGAAATCTCCCTCCGCGCCCAAGAGGACCTCAGCACCGCTAGTAGCGCAGATGCAGCATGGAACCCGTGCCATACCCTACCCTTCATGCCAGTATACCAGCAATCTGGGATAGCAACCTCACATCTGCCGAGCTACCTTGGTGGACAAAAGAGAGGGCGGCCGGATCTCCGCCACAAAGCATACCTCCTTCGGCCACCACCCCCGGAATCCGAAAGGTGGCTTCCAGAGATACACCCGTCGCCCGAAAGACACCCAAAGCTACTCCGGGATACCGGAGAGGGATCGGGACATCCCCAGGCAATCCAGATTCCACGGCAAACTACGCCACCGCCAAGAACCTCAACGGAATGGGATGGACCCCGGTGTCCTTTCCCCTACCTAGGAACTAGCGCGCCTGTGGGAGAAATCCCAAAGGCCAAAAAGAGGAAGGGCAAAAGGGAGGGGTGGGGAGGAGGAGGAATGGAAAAAGGGGAGGATGGGATAGGGGAGGGGAGAATGGGGGGTAATTAGGTTCGGTCTGAGGAAGAAGACCGACAGGGCTAATTCCTCAGACCAAGAGCCTCTTCACCACGCCAAGGAGCCCCCCTTGAAAAGGAAAATTAGTACAGCCTCTCCTCACTTAATGACAGAGTTTCGTTCCTAAGACCACGTCGCAAAGTGAGGAGCATACTAAAGTGGTAGTAGGTTTGTGTCAACCATCTTTGATATTGTTTTAATGTCACCTTTGCACCATTTATAACATTTCTGGTATGTATATTTGTAAATGTTTATACAGTAGTGTACTGTATATTGTAATAAAGAGAATACAGGAAATTAGCTCTTAATATACATTATTTAGGTATGCATGCTGGTCAGAGAGCCCGTCGTCGGTAAACGAGTACGTCGCTAAGTGAGGAGAGGCTATATACTGTCTTCTACTTTACAAAAGTACTATCATACATTCACCTTCTTTTTATTTCCAATTCCTGTATTGTTTTACGGGTTACAATAGTTCTAGTGTCCGGTAGTCGTGATTGTGAAAAATATTTTATAATTTGGACTACAATCAATCAGCAATAACATACACCCCCTCCCCTCATTACTCTGTTAATTTGAGGGTTCACTGTGATGTGGTAATAATTTAAATATGAAAACAAAGCAAACAAAATTTATGTTGTCTCACCATCATTATCATCTTGTGAGTTTTGCTCAGGATCATCATCACTATCCGAGTCATCCTCTTCATTACCAAGGTCGTCATCATCATCATCTTCATCAGGCTGTGCAAGACAAAGAAGTAATGTACTTTCTGGATTTATATATCATGAAGCAATAAAGGAGGAGACAGAGTTGCAGATTAAAAGCTCAAATAATAGTCAGGACAATGTCTTTTGAGGTAAAACATCAATTAGTACACACTGAATGTTTAGCTATTTTTTTTTTTTTAACAAGTCGGCCGTCTCCCACCGAGGCAGGGTGACCCAAAAAGAAAGAAAATCCCCAAAAAGAAAATACTTTCATCATCATTCAACTCTTTCACCTCACTCACACATAATCACTGTTTTTGCAGAGGTGCTCAGAAACACAACAGCTTAGAAGCATATACATATAAAGATACACAACATATCCCTCTAAACTGCCAATATCCAGAACCCCTCCTTTAGAGTGCAGGCATTGTACTTCCAATTTCCAGGACTCAAGTCCGGCTACATAAAAATAACGGGTTTCCCTGAATCCCTTCACTAAATATTACCCTGCTCACACTCCAACAGATTGTCAGGTCCCAAATACCATTCGTCTCCATTCACTCCTATCGAACACGCTCACGTACACCTGCTGGAAGTCCAAGCCCCTTGCCCACAAAACCTCCCTTACCCCTTCCTTCCAACCTTTTCGAGGACGACCCCTATTTATATTTATATTGAGCAATAAACACGAAACATCTGTTCAGTGCTAGAACATTACAGGAAGCAACAGCACTTTCCTGACCAAGACAATATTAACATAATCAATTGTTGCATAAGAGAAAGCTTAATAAAATATAATCTTTTTCCCTTAGTGACTCTGCCTCTTCCATATTCCTCACCCTTGTCTGTCTTTAATCTTTGCATACATCTTTAGCACATCCTGCCCTGCAGAGCTGCATGACCTTTGTGGGTTTAGCACTTACTTTTGATTATAATAATAACTGAAGTATAATCCAGAATAGCAATATAATTTTTTTCTTTTTAAGACATCGGCCATCTCCCATGAAGGCAGGGTGACTTGAAAAATAACACTTTCACCTTCATTCACACATGATTATCTTTGTAATATCTGTGTTAAAGAGGTCTATTACACAAGTAGAGATCACTTGCATGACACCCACCAGTTCATCATCATCTTGTCTGGTCATGCCGATCTCATACACTCTCACTACTGCGTCATCTGTTAAGTCATCGGTGCCATTCTCTGTTTCTACTAAGGCTACCTGCGTGTCATTTCGATTGATGGCCAGTGAGCTTACCACGCGGCGAACATCAACTGTGGCTGAAGAACAAAATTATGGATACAAATACAGTACTGACAACAATACATTTGTACTACATGTAAACAGGAGGGTCCTGTTTTTACTGCTGGTAGGTTCCTGATCCCCAGTGATAAGTGAAAATTTTTTTCAATAATGAATGTTTCTAAAATGCCTGATAATGTGTTTATACTATCATATACTAAATGCTCAACACAGCTAGGCATAAAAAAACAGATATGAAAGTAAAATACACAGTATATACAATACTCACCCTAAAATACAGTGCTGGTCATCGTTTCCTTATACAACTGTTGAGCAAAAAGGCGGAAAAAGCACCGAACATAATAAACAATTGCTCAATTGAAAACCTGTATGACCCTAGTGGGTTTAACACTTCTTTTTGATTATAATAATAATCAAGTGAAAACCACCAAAAATGTGGAACACTGATTTTGAGTCATAACTAAACTGTACAATACATATATTAAATCAAAATGTATGGAGTACTCTACAAACTTATAAATTATGTTATTTATTACCTATACTGGAGTAATCTGCTGCATCTACCGTCTTAAATGACGTTTCAAAGGCATTCTCTTGAAACTCGTCAAGCTGATCACCAACAGTGATGCCGAATATAACATCATTGGTGTGGTTGAAGACGACATCACAGAGATTTAGTACTGGCACAGTTCTTAAGAGGTGAAATGTTCTCAGGTCCCAAATCTCAGAGGAGCTGATGATTTCTAGGCCATTACGATGGAACACACCGTTAAGTATAGGGTTGATCTTGTCGAACTTGTGAATCTGATGGGGAATTTTTTTTTTAAGCTTATTTATCAAGTAACAAACTTATACACAGTAATTTATTACTAATGGGGAAGTGGAGCAGAATTCTTCCTTCGTAAGCCATGCGTGTTGTAAGAGGTGACTAAAATGCCGGGAGCAAGGGGCTAGTAACCCATTCTCCTGTACACATCACTAAAGTTAAAAAGAGAAACGTTTGTTTTTCTTTTTGGGCCACCCCGCCTCGGTGAGATATGGCCAGTTTGTTGAAAGAAAAGAAGGTTATTAGAAAGATAAGAATGGATACTATTTGCAACTCACAAATTAGAGGTAAATCTTAAAACAGTAATTCAGTCCATCCTAGACTTTGATTCAGTTGTGACTTAATAATGGTCCAATTTAATGAGGGATATGGTTAATGGGGGTTTAAAGGCCACTAACTACATGAGGGTTATGAGAGGCTGTATGACACCTTTTCACTACCAGATATAAACACTTTAAAAAGCCAAAAATAGGAAATAAAGTAAACTAAGGATATGTAGAAGTAGTAGGTTGGTAGACAGCAACCACCCAGGGAGGTACTACCGTCCTGCCAAGCGAGTGTGAAACGAAAGCCTGTAATTGTTTTACATGATGGTAGGATTGCTGGTGTCTTTTGTCTGTCTCATAAATATGCAAGATTACAGGTACATCTTGCTACTTCTACTTACACTTAGGTCACACTACACATACATGTACATGTTTATTTATACACACTCACCTGAGTTTTCTTTGATTTTATCTTAATAGTTCTTGGTCTTATTACTTTTCCTTTTATATTCATGGGAAAGTGGAATAAGAATCTTTCCTCTGTAAGCCATGCGTGTTGTAAAAATCAACTAAAATGCCGGGAGCAATGGGCTAGTAACCCCTTTTCCTGTAAAAATTACTAAAAAGAATAAGAAGAAGAAAACTGTCAAAGTGGGAAGTCTGAATGTGCGTGGATGTTGTGCAAATGATAAGAAAGAGATGATTGTGGATGTTATGAATAAGAAGCTGGATATCCTGGCTTTAAGTGAAACAAAGCTGAAGGGGGTAGGAGAGTTTCAGTGGAGAGGAATAAATGGGATTAGGTCAGGGGTTTCAGAGTTAGAGCTAAAGAAGGAGTAGCAATAATGTGAAGGATAAGTTATGGCAGGAAAAGAGGACTATAAATGTATTAATTCAAGGATTATGTGGAGTAAAATAAAGGTTGGATATGAAAAGTGGGTTATAGTAAGCTTATATGCACCTGGAGAAGAGAGAAGTGTAGAGGAGAGAGAGAGATTTTGGGAAATGTTGAGTGAATGCGTGGGGAGTTTTGAACCAAGTGTGAGCGTAATGGTGGTTGGGGATTTCAATACTAAAGTGGGCAAAAATGTTGTGGAGGGAGTAGTAGGTAAATTTGGGGTGCCAGGGGTAAGAGGTTTGGTAATAAGTAATACATATTTTATGAAGACGAAGATAAATAAATATACAAGGTATGATATAGCACGTAATGAAAGTAGTTTGTTAGATTATGTATTGGTGGATAAAAGGTTGATGGGTAGGCTCCAGGATGTACATGTTTATAGAGGGGCAACTGATATATCGGATCATTATTTAGTTGTAGCTACAGTTAGAGTAAGAGGTAGATGGGAAAAGAGGAAAATAGCAACAAGTAAGAGGGAGGTGAAAGTGTATAAACTAAGGGAGGAGGAAGTTCGGGTGATATATATAAGCAACTATTGGCAGAAAGGTGGACTGGTGCAAGTATGAGTAGTGGGGTGGGGTGGGGTGGGGGTTTGAAGAGGGTTGGAATAGTTTTTAAAAATGCAGTATTAGAATGTGGGGCAGAAGTTTGTGGCTATAGGAGGGTGGGTGCAGGAGGAAAGAGAAGTGATTGATGGAATGATGAAGTAAAGGGTGTGATAAAAGAGAAAAAGTTAGTTTATGAGAGGTTTTTACAAAGCAGAAGTGTTATAAGAAGAGTAGAGTATATGGAGAGTAAAAGAAAGGTGAAGAGAGTGGTGAGAGAGTAGAGAGAGGGAGAAGCACTGTCAAGAAATTTTAATGAAAATAAGAAAAATTTTTGGGAGTGTTAAACAAGTTAAGAAAGCCTAGGGAACAAATGGATATGTCAGTTAAAAACAGAGTAGGGAGTTAGTAGATGGGGAGATGGAGGTTTTGAATAGATGGCAAGAATATTTTAGGAATCTTTTAAATGTCGATGAAAAAAGGGAGGCGGTAATTTCAGGCACTGGCCAGGGAGGTATACCATCTTTTAGGAGTGAAGAACAGGATGTGAATGTGGGGGAGGTGCGTGAGGCATTACGTAGAATGAAAGGGGGTAAAGCAGCTGGAACTGACGGGATCATGACAGAAATGTTAAAAGCAGGGGGGGGGGGATATAGTGTTGGAGTCAAAGACGGGAATTTATGAAAGTATAGTAGTACCAACACTCTTATATGGGTGTGAAGCTTGGGTTGTGAATGCAGCAGCAAGGTGGTTGGAGGCAGTGAAGATGTCCTGTCTAAGGGCAATGTGTGTGTAAATATTATGCAGAAAATTCGGAGTGTGGAAATTAGGAGAAGGTGTGGAGTTAATAAAAGTATTAGTCAGAGGGCTGAAGAGGGGTTGTTGAGGTGGTTTGGTCATTTAGAGAGAATGGATCAAAGTAGAATGACATGGAGAGCATTTAAGTCTGTAGGGGAAGGAAGGCGGGGTAGGGGTCGTTCTCGAAAAGGTTGGAAGGAAGGGGTAAGGGAGGTTTTGTGGACGAGGGGCTTGGACTTCCAGCAGGCGTGCGTGAGCATGTTCGATAGGAGTGAATGGAGACGAATGGTATTTGGGACTTGACGATCTGTTGGAGTGTGAGCAGGGTAATATTTAGTGAAGAGATTCAGGGAAACCGGTTATTTTTATATAGCCGGACTCGAGTCCTGGAAATGGGAAGTACAATGCCTGCACTCTAAAGGAGGGGTTTGGGATATTGGCAGTTTGGAGGGATGTGTTGTGTATCTTTATACGTATATGCTTCTAAGCTGTTGTGTTCTGAGCACCTCTGCAAAAACAGTGATTATGTGTGAGTGAGGTGAAAGTGTTGAATGATGAAGAAAATATTTTCTTTTTGGGTCACCCTGCCTCGGTGGGAGACAGCCGACTTGTTAAAAAAAAAAAAAAAAAAAAGATATACGTACACTGAGTGACATGCACTTCTTAATGTAGTATACATATATTGTTGCTAATGATCCAGGACAGACTCGAGACATCATCTGAAAATCTATCTCCAACGTGTGAGCTAGCAGTGCAGTGTACCAGCTATGACAATGGAACTTTTACTCTTAATGGGTACTGTTTTTTTATATATAGGCTTTTCAGTATTTCCAATAATATCTACTTTGAGATAAACATTATACAAATTAAGGTTTGTTCTGAATAGTGCCTTTCTTTACTCCAAATAAACAAATACTTGGTTCCCAATATGGTCACTATTGAGCCACAATATCCAATTATAATATGAAATAATTTTATGACCATACAAAATCATTCAGTTTTCAAAATGAAAGATTATCAAGATAAGCAAAAATACTAGAATAAAAATGACACAGCATAAACTTTATCCACAAACTAGTAATTAAACAAATGCAAGCCTCAAAAGGCCTTGAAACTATAAAGGAATTAAAACAATCCACTCTATAACACTGCCAAGTCTTACATACTCAAGGGAGGGTCCTTGATGCTGGTGAAGGGCTCTTGATTTAGGGAATTGGATCTGTGCTCCAGTTCCCTGAATTGAGCCTGAATGCCTTCCATCCCCTTCCCATAGGCAGTTTAATCCATATGGGTTTAGCACTCCCCCATGATTAAATAATAATAATAAGCCTTACATACTTGCTTCCCGGTGCGTATGTCAAACAGCACTCCATCAGTAAGAATGAGGTCATCTGAGGGATCCAAGACAGCCTTGTTGATGTTGTAATGGTTGGATAACTTTGGTGTAAACTCGGTCACGACCTGACTTGTATTAAGGTCATAAAGCTGTGGAGATTGACAGAGTTAACTTAAAAAAAAAAAAAATAGGCATGTGCTTCATACAGGGTGACCCAAATGTGTGGATACACACTTCTGAGCTTTTAAAATCCTTCTGAGGGTTTCTCGAGGAATACCCAGTTCCAAAGATGTTGTGTGTGTTCAGACCTTGGGTCTGCAGAATGGGCTACCCTGTAGAAAGCTACATGGGGTGGTCTGTACACACACACTCACTAACTACAGTTTACCTCAGTAATTCATATAAACATTTACTTATAGCCAGCTAGCAAATGTATAGTGTACAACAACATAAAGTTTACATTATTCAATGATACAAAACTAAATATGCAAGCATTATAATTGTGCAGTGAGCTTCACCAGAAAAATTATTAGATTAATGAGAAGGATGATGGATTAATGTGAAGGACGTGCTGAGTTAATGAGAAGGATGTGATGAACTAATTAGAGGATGTGCTCTGAGCTGATATAAAGTATGCCTACAAAACCTCACTGAGGTTAAGGGTAAACTATAAGTATTCAAGGAGTGTCACTACCTACCTTTGCCGTTTGTTCACTCGTGCCAATGATTTTATCTTGAGCATTATTGAAATCGGCATGCTGGCATTCATGTAACGTGAACCTGTTGGCATAAAAAATAAAGAGGTTTAGCCCCAGGTCTTCTACACGTACCTTTTAGTAAAATTTAGCGAGACGATACCATGGGGAAGTGGAACAGAATCTTCCCTCCATAAGCCATGCGTGTCGTAAGAGGCAACTAACATGCCAGGAGCAAGTGACTAGTAACCCCTTCTCCTGTATACATTACTGAAGTTAAAAAGACAACTTTTGTTTTCCTTTTTGGGTCACCCTGCTTCGGTGGGATATGGCTGGTTTGTTGAAAGATAATATACAAGGGTGTATAAATCTGTAGTGAAGGGGAGGAGGAGTAGGGGTCATCCTAGGAAAGGAGGGAGGGAGGGAGGGGGTAAAAGAGGTTTTATGAGCAAGGGACCTGCACATGTATCAAGCATGTGTGAGTGTGTTAGGAGTCAGTGGAGACAAATGGATTTTGGGACCCGAGCTGTTGGAGTGTGAGCAGGAAAATATCTTGCGAAGGGACTCAGGGAAACCGGTTAGCAGGTGGAGGTAGAAAGTACAGTGCCTACACTTTAAAGGAGGGGTTTGGGCCATTTGCTGTTTAGAGGGACATCTAAACTGTCGTATCTGCATGCCTCTGTAAAGACAATGACAGTGTGAACGATGGTGAAAGTGTTTCTTTTTTTGGCCACCCTGCCTCGGTGGGAGATGGCCAGCATGTAAAAAAAAAAAAAAATAGTTTTTTACAGCAAGGCACTGAGTACAACATAATAGCAAAGGCAAAATTAACAAGCGTCCCCAAAGATGGTGAACCTCCTCTCTGTTACATATATAGTTAAACAGGTCAGTACATTAACCTAGGAACTACTCTAGCTAACCAGTATTATTATAAAATGCATGGGAAAGTGTTAGACCTGTAGGGGGGTCATACAGTGCCTGGGGAATGGAAGGTAATCAGGTTTGATCCAAGGAAAGACAGGGTATTCTAATTCCTTGGATGAAGAACCCTTCAACAGAGTGCTCTGATATAGTGTATTATATTAGCCCTTAAACTGTCCAAACAGATCTATGTTCACATGCGTAGTGTTCCAAAAGTAGAACTATGTTTTTTACATATTTTCCAAAAAAAAAAAAAAAAAAAAAAAAAAGGTCTGTTTTTTCACATACAGTGGACCCCCGCATAACGATTATCTCCGAATGCGACCAATTATGTAAGTGTATTTATGTAAGTGCGTTTGTACGTGTATGTTTGGGGGTCTGAAATGGACTAATCTACTTCACAATATTCCTTATGGGAACAAATTCGGTCAGTACTGGTACCTGAACATACTTCCGGAGTGAAAAAATATCGTTAACCGAGGGTCCACTGTACTTTCATATGTTGAATAAACGTAGATCTACGTTTGGACAGTTTAAGGGTTAATATATCAACAGCAAAAAGTGTCCAACAAATTCAGCTCTCGAGACTAACTAAATTTTTTATGCATATAAAATTAGTTTATTTTTGGCAGTCTAACACTTCAAAACTAATTACTTGACAATTAACATGTATTCATTTTTTTAAGCCTAAGTCATACTGCTAAATTCTTTGCCTACTGAACAGTGCTCAACTTACACTTTATCAAATTTTAACATGCCTTGATCTCACGTTTCCTGCAATCATAATAAATGAAATATTCTTTCACTTCTTCGACTCTCCAAATGTTCCAATAACTAGTTGCATCACATTATAATACTGAACTAGAGTTTTTTCACCTCCTGGTTAGCAAGTACGAGGCAATGTAAAATTAACTAAACGTGCAGGGTGGGTCGAATATGAAGTGTCACGAATCACATACTTTTCATCAAAGAGATCAGTGATGCTCCAGAGAGATGTTTCGTGGACTCCTGTACAAGAAGTGAGGAGCAGCGAGCCGGAACTATGAGTAACTAAGGTGGACACAGCTCCCTGGTGGACCGTGTATATGCCTTCCTCCTGTAACACCCACAACAACATAACTTCACAATTAGCTCCTGTAAGTAAATATGCTTACAACCAACACTTTGAAAAGTATATTCACTGTAACAAGTCAATGGAGGACATGGTCCTCAAACAATCCTAATTTAATAAATTCTTCACTTTACTTCCACCCCTTTTGTGATAATGGTGGTAGAGGGAAAGATAGCAATCTTAAAACTCACAGGCAATCAATTTAAGCCCTTGAGACTCCATTAACTTAAAAAGCATGTATGTAATGCAATTCCAATTTGTGAATATTAGTCAGCATTTTTAGCTTCAACTCAATGAACCTTTTTGATTACTGTCTTTTTTAACTGATTTTAAACCAGCAGAAAATTAAATTTCCCTAGACAAAACACTGTCACTATAATGACAATTTCAACACAATACTCACACTCCCGCCTTTAGTGAATAATCTCACTTCTCCTCGCGTTGTGCCAACAATAATAAACTGGTCATCTGGCTGAAAGGATAAAAAACAAATGCAATTAACACTTAAACAGTCCAAACATATATATATGTTCACTCGCTCAGCGCCCCGAATATTTTTGAAAAAAAAAAAAAAATAGGGTCAGTACTTACTGAGATATGAGGCCAAGAAGTTGGCACTGGATGCTCATGTGACAGCAACATCGAGTCCTGCTGCTTGCAGAAGTGTTGCCGATATACCTTTTTTTCCATTTTTCATATTATTTTATGTAATTTTTATGTTCTGATAATTACAATTTGTAGTAGTTCTTGTCATTTTATAACCAATCTTTGTTCTGACACTAGTATTAGGTACTGAAATTGTACTCAAATTGTCACAAACACACTGACAGGTGGACATTTACACCTGTCTTGGTCATTTACTATTGTCTTGGAATACAGTGGACCCCCGGTTAACGATATTTTTTCAATCCAGAAGCATGTTCAGGTGCCAGTACTGACCGAATTTGTTCCCATAAGGAATATTGTGAAGTAGATTAGTCCATTTCAGACCCCCAAACATACACGTACAAACGCACTTACATAAATACACTTACATAATTGGTCGCATTCGGAGGTGATCGTTATGCGGGGGTCCACTGTATATACAAAGTATTTACATGTCCCAGCAATGTTTTGGATATGTGGAAGTATATAATAATAATGATGATGATGATGATGATGATGGAGGAGGGGGGAGGAGGAGGGGGGAGGAGGAGGGGGGAGGAGGAGGGGGGAGGAGGAGGGGGGGAGGAGGGGGAGGGAGGAGGAGGGGGAGGAGGAGGAGGGGGGAGGAGGGGGGGAGGAGGGGGGAGGAGGGGGGGGAGGAAGGGGGAGGAGGAGGGGGAGGAGGAGGAGGGGGAGGAGGAGGAGGGGGAGGAGGAAGAGGAGGAGGAGGAAGAGGAGGAGGAGGAAGAGGAGGAGGAGGAAGAGGAGGAGGAGGAAGAAGAGGAGGAGGAGGAGGAGAAGAATAATATGTAATAATAATAATAGGTAACAATAAGTTGCCTTGAAGCATGAAAAACAAAGTCCACCCTGACAGTGACATGATAAGATGAGATAACAACTGATAAGAGCTGACGTTTGATGAGCATACACAAGGGTGGGGGAGGGTGCAGCTGATAAAAAAGATTAGAGGTGATATTTGATGAGCATCGCCCTCACTTTGTTTTCGCTGGTACACAAACATGTCTGTCTGTCTATTTGTCTGTCTGTCAAGCTCCCTGTCTATCTGTCTATCCATCTAGCTCTCTGTCTCAGAGAAAGCCACAAGACTGCGTTGTGATCACGTTTACTCACATCTTCAAGTAGAGTATAGCACTTTGTCTGGATTTTTTGGGTTATCCTAGGTAATTTACACTATGTATACTTGTATTTATGTGTACCTGTGAGACAGAGATAGACAGACAGATAGAGAGACAGACTGAAAGATAGAGATAGACAGACAGACAGATTGAAAGATACAGAGACAGATAGACAGAGACAGAGGTAGACAGAGATAGACAGACCCTAAACTTGGGGTTAACATCACTTTCCTCTTTAAAAGAGGAGTGTTAATATGACATTACATCAGTGAATCCTTGGTGTTTGCCGCACTGTTTGCTCTAGCTGGCACTCAATTTAACTGGCGCTCCCACAAGGTACTAAGTGGTCCCAGATTTTTTTAATATCGCGCACACTGGGTGTTAGGACCCATTCTATGCTGACAAGGCATCTCAGGCCAATCATGCCAAATCTGAAGGCAGGAAAAATAAAACGTATATATACGTTTGGGGCGCTATGCGTAAGAACGTATATATACGTTTGGACCGTTTAAGGGTTAAAGGTGAATATTCAAACAAAAGTTTCCCTTGCAGTTATAAAAGAAAGTGGAACAAATGATTTTCTATGAACTAAACAAAGTTCTTTCAAAACAAAAATGCTTCAGTGAGGAATAATGATAAACTAAAACATTACTTAAAAAAAAAGGAGATATGCTGCAATTTTTTAACTGTAGTATTGGCACACTTCTGGCAAGACAGTGATGGAGTGAGTGATGGTGAAAGTGTTTCTTCTTTTTTGGGTCACCCTGCCTTGGTGAGAAATGGCTAATGTGAGAGTTAAAAGTTTGGGTAGAGGACAATGAGGCAGCCACTGTACCCACGTTTTTGTGCTGTGACCTGTATGTCCCACAAAGGTACTTAAATGTGCATGGGTGTAGTACAGATAAGAATAAATTCATTGTTAATGTTATGAATAAGAATCTGGACATCTTAGCACTAAGTGAAACAAAACTAAAACGGGTACTGTTGTTACAGTTGGAGGGTCATCGAAATTATGTTAGCACACCAAGCAAGACAGCGGCTGAATGAATGATGGTGATTTTGATTTTTTGGGGAAGGGGGAGGGGTCACTCACTCTCCTTGGAAGATGACCACTGAAGTTAAAAAAAAAAAAAAAAAAAAAAAAGCTTTATTCCAAATCTAAATTAAGGTAACAAGCAAATTTTTATCCCAGTTTAATATATTTTCCACATATATGGCAATTATTTTTATAATAGATCATGGGATTTAAACAGAGCTTTGATCTACAAGATCATCTGGCACAAATGGGAGGAGGAGAAATGGTGAGAGAAAATAATATATACTGTGGATATTTTACTGTAGCTCATCTAATAACTTATCTTTTTTTTTTTTTTTTTAACAAGTCGGCCATCTCCCACCGAGGCAGGGTGACCCAAAAAAGAAAGAAAATCCCCAAAAAGAAAATACTTTCATCATCATTCAACACTTTCACCACACTCGCACATTATCACTGTTTTTGCAGAGGTGCTCAGAATACAACAGTTTAGAAGCATATACATATAAAGATACACAACATATCCCTCCAAACTGCCAATATCCCAAACCCCTCCTTTAAAGTGCAGGCATTGTACTTCCCATTTCCAGGACTCAAGTCCGACTATATGAAAACCGGTTTCCCTGAATCCCTTCACTATATATTACCCTGCTCACACTCCAACAGATTGTCAGGTCCCAAGTACCATTCGTCTCCATTCACTCCTATCTAACACGCTCATGCACGCTTGCTGGAAGTCCAAGCCCCTCGCCCACAAAACCTCCTTTACCCCCTCTCTCCAACCCTTTCGAGGACGACCCCTACCCCGCCTTCCTTCCCCTATAGATTTATATGCTTTCCATGTCATTCTACTTTGATCCATTCTCTCTAAATGACCAAACCACCTCAACAACCCCTCTTCTGCCCTCTGAGTAATACAGTGGACCCCCGCATAACGATTACCTCCGAATGCGACCAATTATGTAAGTGTATGTAAGTGCGTTTGTACGTGTATGTTTGGGGGTCTGAAATGGACTAATCTACTTCACAATATTCCTTATGGGAACAAATTCGGTCAGTACTGGCACCTGAACATACTTCTGGAGTGAAAAAATATCGTTAACCGGGGGTCCACTGTACTTTTATTAACTCCACACCTTTTCCTAATTTCCACACTCCGAATTTTCTGCATAACATTTGCACCGCACATTGCCCTTAAACAGGACATCTCCACTGCCTCCAATCGTCTCCTCGCTGCTGCATTTACCATCCAAGCTTCACACCCATATAAGAGTGTTGGTACTACTATACTTTCATACATTCCCTTCTTTGCCTCCATAGATAACGTTTTTTGACTCCACATATACCTCATCGCACCACTCACCTTTTTTCCCTCATCAATTCTATGATTAACCTCATCCTTCATAAATCCATCCACCGACATGTCAACTCCCAAGTATCTGAAAACATTCACTTCTTCCATACTCCTCCTCCCCAATTTGATATCCAATTTTTCTTTATCTAAATCATTTGATACCCTCATCACCTTACTCTTTTCTATGTTCACTTTCAACTTTCTACCTTTACACACATTCCCAAACTCATCCACTAACCTTTGCAATTTTTCTTTAGAATCTCCCATAAGCACAGTAACTTATTTTTATAACCATAAAATCAGTGGAAAGTCGCATCTCAGTCTGCACCTCAAAGCGCACAGATCATCATCTTTCAACAAACCGGCCATATCCCACCGAAAAGTTTCTCCATTTAACTTTAGCAATGTATACAGGAGAAGGGGTTAAGTGCATAGATATCTACAAGATATAGAAATCTAGAGTTCTTCATCAAGATGTCTTTTACTTTGCAACAGTAGCAAATCTTATCTCTGCTTTCAGAACATCTGAATATGTTAAAACAGTACCACACAATGACATCTTTCCCACACAAACTTTAAACACTTACTGTGAATTCACAGCAAACAAAAATGTCATCATCATCTGTCGGTCTATAAGTCTGCATCGGTCGATATCTACTGTAGATAAACTTTCGATTATTAGAAGAGCCTTCAAGACCAGTGAATGGCACATTGTATGATCTCTTGGCATACCGCATTGTGAAGTTTGTAGGAGGCGCTCTTAGTGATTTAGGTTCTGGACATCTGTGTGGTCTGGAAAATATTAATTTAAATTAGTATGTTAGATTGCTTTTGCTATGGAAAAAGCCATACATGATACTGCTAAAGGTTATATGCCAATAATTAAAATGATACACAAATAATCCTCGCACAGGAGAGAGATCACACTCATCCTATTGACTGGTCTTCTGCTAAAACTGTCTTCCCTACTTCCAACTTTAACAGTTGCCATCTGGTTGAATCCTCCCTTATACACAACTTTCCTTGTATGAATCTTAGTCCTGGCTTCATCTCTGTAGATGCTTTCCTTTCCCACTACATTGTAAAGTGCTCCAAACTTCAGAACACCCGTGGCTTAACCTGATTCCTTTTTTTTCTTCTTCTTCTTCTTCCCCTTTCCTCTTTCTCCTTTGGGTTGTCTTTCTTCTGCCTAGGGTATTTGTTCCTTCATTATTTATTTTTCCCCCTCTGTGTTCTTGCTCCTACCCCCTGTGGGCCCCTAGCTCCCGTGCAGTGCTCCTCTTTCTTAGTATTTGACTGGCTCCACCTCCACCATACTACCTCCCCAACTACTACCTTCTACCTCCACTACTACCACTACCACCTCCTGGCCTATATATACTCCCTCCTTCTCTCCTTTTCGTTAGTGTGACTTTGTAAATGGTCCAAGTCAGACCACAACGTCGTCATTAGCTCCTCTCTTCTATGTGTGGGTTATTTGTGTACCGTTCCAGTCACGGTATTGTGCATTTTTTTTGTTATTTAATAATTAGAATGTACTGAGAAGTCACAAAAGTTTTATAATTTATCCATAATATAATTACTACTCAAGAACAAAAAGGCACAATACAGTGACTGGAACAATACACAAATAACCCAAGCATAGGAGAAAAGCTGATGACGACATTTTGGTCAGACTTGGACCATTGACTGTTTCTTTCTCCTGTGTGTGGGTTATCTGGGTATGATTACTTCTGAAGGGGCAGTGAAATATTGAGAATGCTTACTGGAAGAGGTCGAATGTTGGACAGGTAACAACCGGGTTCTTGCAGAGGGCATGCTGATTCATAAGATATTCTGTGACGATTCTGTCCAAGCTTATTGTAGGTTCACTGAGCAGCGCTGTATTCGTCACCACAGGCACTGATAGAGCAGAATTCCCTATGCTGCCTACAGTGCCTTGACTACAATTGCTACAACAGTTAGAGGACTCCATTTTGCTAAAGTGACACATGCTGCTATTGTTCGTCAAGGACACACCTCTGCTATCTCTTTTGCTAGCTCTGAAAGATGGCAAGTATTTTTGACACACCCACAACAAATATATAAAGCAAATATTCAGATAATACAGTAGTACCTTTTGTAAAGTAAAATAATTAACTTAGCTTCTGACCATACCTTTGAAGTACCTTTACCTTATCTTTAAAGTTTCCAGTCTCTCACTATTCTTGGAGCCCAGCCCATGGCCGAGTTCCAAGTAAATTCTAGTAAATTCTATGCATATACTCATATAGTAAATTCTATGCATATACTCATATAGTAAATTCTATGCATATACTCATATAGTAAATTCTATGCATATACTCATATAGTAAATTCTATGCATATACTCATATAGTAAATTCTATGCATATATTCATATACAACCAAGACTGAAGCTTCATCAAGATGTACCATAGGTGTTTTACATCATTTAACATCTACATCATGACTCATGAATGGAATGGAATGAATGTGGTTGAACCCATGGCGTGAGTGAGTCTTAAAACTGCAGGCTAGTGGAGTTTTATGCCATGGCTTCAAACCCCACCCATTCTGTGGTTAGGACAGTAATAATGGCAGAATTTCTGACAAAATGTTAGGTGAATGGACTCAGATGCAACTAATGTGAGCTGTGTCCATTTACATGCTAGGACACTTCATAAAATGAAAGTAGCAACTAGACAGTTACTAAAGAATGACAATTATTGTTTTTCAACAGGCATGTCCATCTCCTACTGAGGCAGGGTGACCCAAGAGAGAAACACATTCACCATCATTTACACATAATCACTGTCTTTGCAGAGGCACTCAGATACGACAGTTCAGATGTCACTCCAAACAGCAAGCTTCCCAAACACTTAATATATATACCTGTTAATTTTAATATGCAAGGCTCCAGGACTAGATGTATTGCTGATGGGTGATGGATTGGCCACCGGTGAAGAAGTAGTGGCAGCTGATGCAACTGCTGCTAATGAACCACTGTTAGCTGGTGAACCTTTGCACAAAGTTTGTGCAAATAAGTGACGAGTGCCTGCACCAGCAAGGAGACGGTGCTGCATCAAAATGTAACAATTTTGTTAAAGAAAACTTAAGACAACTCTCAAAATAAATAGAACATTGGAATACAAGAAGGACCCACATACATAGCATGTATTTGTGGTGTTCAATGTTTTGGTTGGCTTTCAATTGAGCCACTGTTCCACCCACCAGTGGCTATTGCAGGCACATGGAACATAATGAACAATGGCTCAATTTGAAGCAAACGAAAACATGGAACACTGAAAAGAAGTTAGTGCGTGTGCAGGGCCCTCATGTACTGCACAGATCAAACTGACCTGAGTGGACTAAAGGCACAACAGTGGGAAAATATATCACTGCAAACCAGACAGAAGTTCCTCATTATAAATTATGAATCACCTCAAGCTGTATTACCATTTTATTCATTATATTTTGTAAAAATAATACAGTAGGCATGCACATAGCAGGTAACCCTCATGCACTATTTTCATTCATTTTCTGTGGAAAGCACTAAACCCATGGGGGTCATATAGCCTCTGGGGAATGGAAGATATTCAGATTAAATCCAAAAAAGTGGAAGATAAATCCAGTTCCTTGGATCAAGAACTCCTCACCAGCAACAAGGCATCATCCTTGAGGAAAAGTCTATTTACTGTCAGTACTATAACAATGGGGTAACAGGTATATGTCATACATTGCAATTATTCAGAATAAAAGTTGCCCATAATTTTTACAGAAAAATGTGATTTCAGCAGTCTTCACGGTGAAGCCAGTGTATTTTTTTAATGATCTAAAACAAATTCTTATGGCCTTTAAACTTCTAAGGAACCTCTTTATATAACTGGGAAATTTTAATTGATTTACAGCACATAATGAAACAAGAAAGTCTTGAAAACACAAGTACGGTACTCACCGCTCTGATGGATGGCGGCGGGGTCACCATATTCCTTGTTGGTGGTCCCATAGAAGTATGTGGCACAGAGGCGGGAAGAGGAGGAAGATGGGCTGCTTGTTGAAGCGCCATTGCCACTGCTTCATAACCCTCCTGGGACAGGTGGGTCTGTATCAGCTGCAACAGCTGCCTCTTGTTGTAGTTGATTCTTGTTTGTGCTACTACATCAGCCTGTAAACAAGACATACCAATGATAATGAGTATAGAGTTTATGACTAAGAGTACAGTGGTACTCTGAATTTTGAACAGCTCCCAACTCAAACAATTATGTAAGTGTATTTTTGTAAGTTCTTTTGTGTATTTTTGGGGGGTCTGAAATGGATTAATCTAATTTACATTATCCCTTGTGGGAACACATTCGTTCAGTAACGGCACTCAAACAGCCTTCTGGAACGAATTAAGGCTGAAATTCAAGGTATTACTGTACTTGTAATGCAAAAAGATGCCTTACATGCAGAAGTTTTATATAAGGGATTACCATTAGGCCCCTGGTTGTCTTCGAGTAGTAGCTAGAAAGGCACCTAAGTCAGTACCTAACCAGCCAGGTTGTGGTTTGTACGTTGTTTACTTGAGGCCAGCAATAACACCCTGGTTGATTAGGTCCTGATCCACTACAAGGCTTGGTCACGGACTGGGCCAATGACCCCGTAAAACCACCTCCAGGTATACTCCAAATAAGAGAGGCTTAGGGGTAGCAATCTGGTTGGAATAGTAGGCTATGGGTCTTGTCTTGAAGTAGCATTTTTTTTTTTCAATACAATGGCCATCTCCCACCAAGGCAGGGTGACCAGAAAATGAAGAAAACTAAAGTTTATCTTCTTTTTGCATTTAGTAATTTATACAGGAGGAGGAGTTACTAGCACCTTGCTCCCAGCATTTTAGTCGCCTCTTATGACACACGGCTTGTGGAAGAAAGATTCTTTTCCACTTTCCCATGAAGAAGCAGCATTAGTATTAATTATCTGGGGGGGTTCAGCCCCCCTTCTTTTTCCTTCCTTGGAACTGCCCCAGACTACATATGGCAATATATTACTGCTTTAAACTTTTTTTTTTTTATTAATACATTGGACGTTTCCCACCAAGGCAGGGCGGCCCAAAAAACTTTCATCATTCACTCCATCATTGTCACTTTCCAGAAGCACGCTTACACTACAGTTATAAAACTGCAACATTAACACCCCTCCTTCAGAGTGCCGGCACTGTACTTCTCATCTCCAGGACTCAAGTCCAGTACGCCGGTTGAGTCCTGTTATATTAAGAAAAGCAGTCCAAATAAAAAGCTTTTTCTTCTTGATAATTTCATTTTTATGTGAAAAGAAATGACAAAACAGCTATTTAACAAGACAACTAATAACATTATAACATGACAAATGGCCTCATTCTAGGTAGTAGGTTGGTAGACAGCAACTGCCCAGGGAGGTACTACCGTCTTGCCAAGCGAGTGTAAAACAGAAGCCTGTAATTGTTTTACATGGTAGGATTGCTGGTGTCCATTTTTCTGTCTCATAAACATGCAAGATTTCAGGTACGTCTTACTACTTCTACTTACACTTAGGTCACACTACACATACATGTTTTTTTTTTTTTTTTTAACAAGTCGGTCGTCTCCCACTGAGGCAGGGTGACCCAAAAAAGAAAGAAAATCCCCAAAAAGAAAATACTTTCATCATCATTCAACACTTTCACCACACTCACACATTATCACTGTTTTTGCAGAGGCGCTCAGAATACAACAGTTTATAAGCATGTACGTATAAAGATACACAACATATCCCTCCAAACCGCTAATATCCCAAACCCCTCCTTTAAAGTGCAGGCATTGTACTTCCCATTTCCAGGACTCAAGTCCGACTATATGAAAATAACATACATGTACAAGCATATATATATACACCCCTCTGGGTTTTCTTCTATTTTTTTACTAGTTCTTGTTCTTGTTTATTTCCTCTTACCTCCATGGGGAAGTGGAACAGAATTCTTCCTCCGTAAGCCATGCGTGTTGTCAAGAGGCGACTAAAATGCCAGGAGCAAGGGGCTAGTAACCCTTTCTTCTGTATATATTACTAAATGTAAAAAGAGAAACTTTCGTTTTTCTTTTTGGGCCACCCTGCCTTGGTGGGATACGGCCGGTTTGTTGAGGGGGGGAAAAAAAAAAAAAAAGACCTCAGGAACTGAAATGAGCAAGGTATGAGTCATTATCAATGGTTCAGAGAACTGACAAGTTGAAGCCACTGTGTGGTGAAACATTTCCGCAATAAAGATATTCAAGTGCTGCCCATGTGTCTAGTTATGAGTTAACTACTGTATCATCTTTTCTTACAAAATGTGCAAGGCTAACTTAAAAACCACTATAAAGAACATAAGCATAACTACACAGAAGGTATAATGGTTGCTGTGTGCTGCGTTGGGAAACTCACCCTGTGTATACTTTGCATTGAGATGTCGGTGGAAGCATCACCTTCGTGCTTGGTGCGCCCAGATACAGCTTTGATCAACTCCAAGGCATGCCGCTGAAACTTAACGTGCTCCATCCGCTTGTCTTGTAGGATTGGCTCTTTCATTAGCACTGAGGAAAATATTTGTAAATATTAAGATTTTATACAAATCACATTGGCACAAAGTGGAAATTTAAACTGATAATAGCCTAGGATGAACCAATGTTTTCTAGTTTTTATTTAAAATCTGTGTGCTAGTTGCAATACTGCTGTATATAGAATAATTTTTTCCAGTGGAGCAGACAAATATGAACTTTTATTGCATTTATCTACAAATGCTTGTGTGTCTCAATGAATAACTAGTCTACTGAACACTTATCAATGCTCAATAATAACACACATGGACACACAAACTCAGAAGATTGACTGATCTGTATATTTCAACCTCCTCCTGGGATCCTCAATGTTCTTAATCAAGTGCTGATTAATATATAGTCATCTAGTTAAACAGCTAAGTGTATACAGTGGCACATTGCTTTTAAAATAGCTTTACAAGATTTTCTATTTGTGCAGGGTAACAGAGAATAGGATTTACTTGCATCTGTGCGACTGTCTAGGCTCTGAGAAGAATGACGAATATAGACACTTCTCGAATTACGATGGGGTTATATTCTGATGAACCCATTTAAGATGAAAATATTCTAAGTTGATAATTACTGTCACTCAGTAAATAAATAAGCAATTATTAAATACCAGTATTTCAATACTGGTATTTTAGTTAATTACAATAAGGAATAAAAGTTTATAGTATCAATAGATCTACAGTACTGAATGTGCGTTGCTATCATGCCATCGTAAAGTTGAAACATTGTAAGATGAACCACAGTAATGCAAGAAGCATCTGTATTAGTCTATTCACATGGGAATGCTCAACCCATCATGGGTCAAAGAGCACCTGGGAATGGGTGTCTATCAGCTCTGTGACTGAGCGCTTACAGTACTGGGCCTGCTATTTGCATGGACCACAGCTCAAGTCTTTGTTCATTCTTTTGTCTGTTCACTGACAGTCATTCAGTATGACCCATCTTGGATTTTACCTGGATTACCTGGAGAGAGTTCCGGGGGTCAACGCCCCCGCGGCCCGGTCTGTGACCAGGCCTCCTTAGGTCAGTGTCCCAGGATGTGACCCACACCAGTCGACTAACACCCAGGTACCCATTTTACTGATGGGGAACATAGACAACAGGTGGAAAGAAACACGTCCAATGTTTCTACTCTGGCTGGGAATCGAACCCAGGCCCTCACCGTGTGAAGTGAGAGCGTTAACCACCAGGCCACCAGATATGTGGGAAGGGTAGATTAATCCAGTATAACCATACTCACACTGCAACTGTCCAGCAGTGAAGATGGGTAATTTGCTCATGATCTGACGTGCTGCATCACTTCTTGACAGACCCACCAGAGCTCTACAGGAAAGCCCTCTGATGCAGTCAGCATCTGTGATGGGCATTTTCTTGTGGAGTACATTCAGCAAGTACTAAAAAGACACAAATATTGAAATTGTACAGAGTAAAAAAAAAAAAACACGATTAGGTTTTTAAATAAAATCTCTCTCCAACTGAATATTCAATATTACTAATAACTTTTTTTAACACAATGGCTGTCTCCCAACAAGGCAGAGTGACCCAAAAAAGAGGAAATGTAGTTTTTCTTTTTACATTTAGTAATTTATACAGGAAAATGGGCTAATCATGAGTATTATGAGCCCTAACTATTACAAAGTTATTGTAACACAGAGAAGCAGAATTATAAAAACTGAACAAAGCCCCAACAAATTAATTTTAATGGTATCCATAACAAGTACAACTCTTTTATTACTGAGGACTTAACATAAAACATGAACTGGAGAGCAACACTGAGATGGGCCCCCTGGCCCATGCGAGGAGGATCTTATTTATGCTCAATAATTCACCCTTAACATTTGTCTAATCTTTCTGGTTATTCACTTACATTATTATTATGTGAAAGTGCTAAACCCATAGGGATTATACAGTGCCTGTGTGGGGGGAGGGGTGTGAATGGAATGAATTCAAGCATTAATTCAGGGAACTGGAACACAGATCCAATTCCTAGATCAAGAAACCTTCGTTTAAAAGGTATTCATTTGGAGTCGTACATGACAATCTGAGTTCATTTGCTTAATCATTCTACAGCTTTCAAATGGGTGCAGATAATAGGACCTTAAGTTATCTTCAAAGATTTCTCATTCAATGGATTACTTTGTTATTCATTTATTTTACTCATGTACAGTTATATGTAGCTCTCAGCTTTTTCCTTCCCATTTTTACATACTGCTAAGAGCCTGAGAGAAGAGTGCTGCAGAGGGCCTACTGATCCATGGTAGACAGATCCTATTCACCACTATTCACTCATGTATATTCACTGCTATCCAAACTTCCACGACATTTCCCAAGGAAGACACAGCTTTAAGCATGCTAACCTATTATAAATATAGCAAGTGTTGCATATATGGTTGGCTGCTGAGCTTCCATTAAGTGATTTGTAATAGATTTTTTTGGATAAAAACAGACTAATATTTTCTCTTGAAACATTGGTTTCCCCCTCTCAGTAGGGTTGCTAAAAGCCTTGTTTATAATTAAAAAAAAAAAAAAGTCAGTTTGTCCTTTTTTATATATTTTCTTTTTATCATGTTGGCCATCTGGCTGGGTACATTTTTACATTTTTTTTTTTTAACATACTGGTCATCTCCCATTGAGGTAGGGTGACCCAAAAAAAGAAACTTTCACCATCATTCACATTATCACTGTCATGCAAGAGGCACGTAGATACAACAGTTTAGAAGTCACTCTAAACAGCAAATACCCCAAACCCCTCCTTCAGAGTGCAGGCAATGTACTCTCCACCTCCAGGACTCAAGTCCAGCTAACCAGTTTCCCTGAATCTCTTCATAAAATATTACCTTGCTCAAACTCCAACAGCTTTTTAGAAAACTCCACTTTATTATTAATAGTTTTTAACCTACTTATATGTCTTATATTAACTGAAACCTTAATGATCTATGCAATACATTACTGTGCAGTTTACAGTCCTGTACTTTCATATCCCTTCTACAGTGAATACTGTACTGTAATGCTAATACTTGCACTGAATATTACATATCTTATTAGAAAAACTATTGCTGTCTTTCTTATTATTAAAACAATATTGATGTTATGCTCTACAAACCATTTTACATGTTAGAATAATACAATCCAATATTGTTTAATTTTGTCTTGATGTTAAGATTAACACTATTCTAATCATGGGAAGCACTAAACTTCTAGGGGTCATATGGTACAGAGGAGGAGGAGGTAATAAGGTTTGCTTTGAGGAAGGTCAGCTCCAATCCCTTGGATCATGAGCCCTTCACCAGCAGGAATTTTAACTGAATGTGCAATAAATTTTTAACAGTAAATAATTATCAAACGAGTTAAAAATGTAAATTTTTTTTACATGTCAGCTATTTCACACCATGGCAAGGTGACCCCCCCCAAAAAAAAAAAAAAAAACCACTTTCATCTTACAACATCACTGTCTTGCCAAAGGTGTTCAGAGACTATAGTTCAAAAGCTGCAAACATCTCCACCCCTCCTTCAGAGTATAGATACTGTACTTTCCACCTCCAGGACCCAAATCCGTCTAACCGGTTTCCCTGAATCCCTTTGTAAATCTTACTTTTAATTTACAATTAACTTCCGCGTAAAAAAACTTTGCGTCCCAGAGGTATCTGTAAAACCCAAAAAAGGTTAAAATATTATATCCCTATGAGGTTGGAGTGTGAGCAGGGAAATTTTTAGTAAAGGGGATTCAGGGAAAACCCGGGTTTTTTTATATAGGGGACTCGAGCCCCTGGAAATGGGAAGTCAATCCCTGCACTTTAAAGGAAGGGTTTGTGATTTGGCTTTTGGAGCAATGCTTGTATTTTATATTATAAAAGGGGGGGACCCTCAACCCCGGAGGCATTGTTTAAACGATAAATTGACTAGCGATTCATTTAAACGCAAAATTTTGCCTGCTGCGCTTAAAAACCTGACCAGCGCTTTTCTTTTCCGTACCATCGCGTCCACTTTGGCCTGAGCGGCCTCACTTGTCCTTTGGTGCCAGTTTTTACAACCCGCCACCACGCGGTCGCTTCCAAACATAAACGGGAACATTATTTATCCCTTTTCATTTATCACAGCCTTTTTAGGATTGCACCTGCAAAATAAGCCCATGGCCCCAAGAAAGTTCTAGTCCCAAACCCCTACGAAAAAAGGGTAGAATTACTATGGGATGGAAAGAGATCTTTGAAAAAAATTAAAAAAGGGGAGTGCATATCTCTGAGCTGGTCGGTTGTTAATAAACCCCCAAACAACCACGCTACTATTGTAGGCAAGAAAACGGCAATCAAGGAAGCGTTTTTTGCCAAAAATGCAACTATGTTTTCGAAAATGAGATCGCAATGATAGAAAAATGTGGAGGCTTTTATTGGTGGGTTAAACGGGAAAAAGATAGCGGGACGCATCTCTCAAGCCGTTTATGTGAAAAGGCTAGGAAAATTTCTGACATTTAATTTAAAAATATGCCAGCAACTAGTGATGAGTGAATTTAGGCCAGCAAAGGTTGGGGTTTTAGAGATTTTAAGAAGGTAGTGGCATTTATGTGTGTAAGGCATGGTGAGGCTGCCCCGTTAGGCCCCCAAAGTGGCTGAAAAAAATGTGCAGGATTCAAGGATTTCATAGAAGTGAAGGACTAAAACCTGAACAAGTGTTTAATTGTGATAAACGGCCTGTTTTGGAAAAAAAATGCCAAGCAGGACCTACATTACTCAGGAGGAAAAAGTCACTTCCAGGACATAAGCCTATGAAAGACAGGCTTACTTTGTTGATGTGTGCCAATGCTAGTGGTGATTGCAAAGTGAAGCCTTTATTGGTGTATCACTCTAAAACCCCCCAGAGTGTCAGGAAAAACAATGTCCTCAAGGCTAATTTGTGTGTGCTGTGGAGGGCAAACAGAAAGGGCATGGGTCACTAGGGACTTTTTCTATGACTGGTTACACCATGCATTTGCCCCCGATTTTGAAAAATTACCTAATTGAAAAAAAATTAGACCTTAAGTGCCTCCGGGTATTAGACAATGCCCTGGTCATCCTACAGATGGGGCAGAGCGTCTTTCAAGGGACATGAGCTTCTTTAAGGTGAAGTTTTTGCCTCCTAATACCACTCCTCTCCTGCAGCCCATGGACCAGCAGGTTATTTCCAACTTCAAGAAACTGTACACAAAAGCTATGTTTGAAAGGTGCTTTGTAGTGACCTCAAAAAACTAAACTGACTCTAAGAGAGTTTTGGAAAAATTTTTACCATCCTCAATTGTGTAAACATTATAGGTGAGGTTTGGGGAGGAAGTGACTAAGAGGACATTGAACTCTGCTTGGAAAAACTGTGGCCAGAATGTGTAAAACAAAAGGGATTTGGAAGGGTTTGAGGCTAACCCTGAGAATCCTATCCCAGTTGAGGAATCCATTGTGGCATTGGGAAAGCCCCTTGGGGGGTTGGAGGTTAGTGGGGGGGGATGTGGAAGAGTTGGTGGTGGAGGACAGTGAAGAACTAACCACTGATGAGCTGCTAGATTCATCTTGAACAGCAAGAGGGCAGACCTGAGGAAACTGCTTGGGAGGGGGGGAGAGAGAAATTGAAGAAGTTGCCTACTTCTAAGATTAAGGAAATCTGTGCAATGGGGTTTTAAAAAGTGCAAAGCTTTATGGAGATAATCACCCTGACACAGCTACTGCAAGCCGTGTTGGCAACCTGTACAACTGACAATGTTGTGAACCACTTTAGGAAAGTCATAAAGGAACAAGAGGTACAGGCCTCTATGGACAGATATGTTGTGCGACAAAAGTCCAGTGACTCTCAAGCTGGTCCTAGTGGCATTAAAAGAACAAGGGAAGTAACCCCAGAAAAAGACTTGCTGCCTCAAGTGTAATGGAAGGGGATTCCCCTTCTAAACAGTAAGAAAATAAACGCTCTCCCCTCCCCCCCATCCCATTTAATCATCACCAGATCTTCAATAAAGGTAAGTGTCATGTAACTGTGCATGTAATCTTCAGTTTGTGTGTATTAAAATTAATATTTCATGTGGTAAATTTTTTTTTTTCAATACTTTTGGGTGTCTTGCACGGATTAATTTGATTTCCATTATTTCTTATTCGGAAAATTAACTTGACTAACGATTATTTTGACTAACGATTAGCTCTCAGGAACGGATTAATATCGCTGGTTGAGGGTCCACTGTACTTCTAAACTGTTGTATTCTGAGCACCTCTGCAAAAACAGTGATTATATGTGAGTGAAGTGAAAGTGTTGAATGATGATGAAAGTATTTTCTTTTTGGGGATTTTCTTTCTTTTTTGGGTCACCCTGCCTCGGTAGGAGACGGCTGACTTGTTAAAAAAAAAAAAAAAACGAGCCAGTATGGGAATACAGCACGTATTATTCAATCTACCAAATTGATGACACTTGACTCATGAAATCGTAATGACACGATTGCAAACAAACCATACCCCGGCTGGGATTGAACCCGCGGTCAGAGAGTCTCAAAACTCCAGCCCGTCGCGTTAGCCACTAGACCAGCCAGCCACAATAAGATTCGTCAAACTAGGTATATTTCTACACCATAGGAAGGTTAGCACAGCCCGTGGCTAACGCGACGGGCTGGAGTTTTGAGACTCTCTGACCGCGGGTTCAATCCCAGCCGGGGTATGGTTTGATGACACTTGTATTGATGACCAACACTTTTGAGTCTGCAAAACATAGATTCAAAAGCACAAAACCACAATGGGCACTGTAATATTAATCCCTGAATAAAACTCAGCCGAGAAACTTACCATAATACCATTGCTTGTTCTTACACAATCCCAAGCTTTGTTGATAACATCTTCCCCATTGCTCTTCTTTCTATTAGGAGTTGTAGATGTACTATGTCTGCTGATACCACTCCCAGGCTAAAGAGAAATACATCAGAAATAAAGTGGTTTCCTTGAGAACACAATGATTTGCTACCACCCACACAAAAATATTAACATTTAAATATGCACAAAATAAAGAGGTAACTGCTTTATTCACAAAGAGTAACAAACCAATATAGTCATTCAGCAGAGAGAGTAAATGATAGAAAAATAGACACAAATGCAGTATAATGTGATGCTTTATTAACTTTGTTTTACTTGTCTGTACATCCAACAAATTAAACCACAACAGCTTTTACAACATAGCTGAACCTGGTTGTTTGGAAACTTCATCGTTATCAAACACAGCAACCAAACAACTTGCTCATTCTGTGCTGGTCCTTCTCAAATTCAACCTTCTCAACATTATCCACCCCACTCCTCACGTCACTATGCTCCCTATATATACTCCTTGTACTTTCTCCTCAGGTAGATCTGTTTGTGACTTGATAAAGCCCACTCTGAGGGTGGAACCTACTCAATAATGTATTACATGGCATTTGTGTCTGTTTTTCAAAATGAGAGAGATTCCTTAGTCAAACCCTGGCTGGAGCCCAGTCATTAGACACCTTATGTGCCTTGGTAATCTTTTGACTACTGCTTACATAATGAGTACGGAGCACCTACCACCCACAGGATGGTTATGAGAGACCCCACTGTTCACATAATGAGTATGGGGTGACTATTACCCCTGGAGTTATTAACCCCTTGATCCCAATATTTTAGTTGCCTTCCATGACATGCATGACTTATGGAGGAAGGATTCTTTTTCCACTTCCCCATGGATATGCAAGTGCTCCTCTGCTTTACGTTATTTTGACTTGACGATGGTGCAAAAGCAATTATACTTTCGAGATGAAACTTGAGATTATTACCAATCATGAAGACGGCAAATCCATAATTTGTATTCATTTTACTTTTCAATACTGGTATTTAGTTAGTTACAGTAATTATTTGTTTATTTACTTATTCAGTATTTAGAGTGGACCCCCAACATTTGATGGCATCGACATTCAATAAATCCGACATTCGATGCATTTTAACGCAAAAATTTCGCTTCGACATTCGATCGAAAACCCGCTATTCGATCGAAAACCCGCTATTCGATACGATTCGTACGAGACGTGTCCACGTGTGGCCTGAACTGCCCCGTGTGTGCCAGTGTTTACAAGCCAGGCAGTGTGTGTGCATCTAAGGATACATTCGGTACATTCCATATTATCACTGTTTTTGGTGCTTGTTTCTGCAAAATAAGTAACCACGGGCCCCAAGAAAGCTTCTAGCGCCAACCCTTCAAGAAAAAAGGTGCTAATGACTATTGAAATGAAGAAAGAGATAATTGCAAAGTACGAAAGTGGAGTGCGTGTGTCGGAGCTGGCCAGGTTGTATAGTAAACCCCAATCAACCATCACTACTATAGTGGCCAGGAAAAGGGCAATCAAGGAAGCTGTTCTTGCAAAAGGTGCAACTTTGTTTTCGAAACAGAGATCGCTAATGTTAGAAGATGTTGAGAGACTGTTATTGGTGTGGATAAATGAAAAACACCTAGGTAGTAGGTTGGTAGACAGCAACTGCCCAGGAAGGTACTACCGTCCTGCCAAGTGAGTGTAAAACAGAAGCCTGTAATTGTTTTACATGATGGTAGGATTGCTGGTGTCCATTTTTCTGTCTCATAAACATGCAAGATTTCAGGTACGTCTTGCTACTTCTACTTACACTTAGGTCACACTACACATACATTTTTTTTTTTTTTTCAACAAGTCGGTTGTCTCCCACCGAGGCAGGGTGACCCAAAAAAGAAAGAAAATCCCCAAAAAGAAAATACTTTCATCATCATTCAAGACTTTCACCACACTCACACATTATCACTGCTTTTGCAGAGGTGCTCAGAATACAACAGTTTAGAAGCATATACGTATAAAGATACACAACATATCCCTCCAAACTGCCAATATCCCAAACCACTCCTTTAAAGTGCAGGCATTGTACTTCCCCTCTGGGTTTTTTAATATTTTCTTACTAGTTCTTGTTCTTGTTGTTTATTTTCTCTTACCTCCATGGGGAAGTGGAACAGAATTCTTCCTCCGTAAGCCATGCGTGTTGTAGGAGGCAACTAAAATGCCGGGAGCAAGGGGCTAGTAACCTCTTCTCCTGTATATATTACTAAATGTAAAAGGAGAAACTTTCGTTTTTCCTTTTGGGCCACCCCGCCTCGGTGGGATACGGCCGGTGTGTTGAAAGAAAGAAAGAAATGAAAAACAGATAGCAGGAGATAGCATCTTTCAAGCGATCATATGTGAAAAAGCTAGGCAGTTGCACGATGATTTGGTAAAGAAATTGTCTGCAACTAGTGGTGATGCGAGTGAATTTAAGGCCAGCAAAGGTTGGTTTGAAAGATTTAAGAATCGTAGTGTCATACACAGTGTGGTAAGGCATGGTGAGGCTGCCATCAATCATCACCAGATCTTCATTAAAGGTAAGTGTCAATTATTCTATTGTTATTGTAATTATTCTATTGCATTAAACTTAATATTTCATGTGGTAAAATTTTTTTTTCATACTTTTGGGTGTCTTGCACGGATTAATTTTATTTCCATTATTTCTTATGGGGAAAATTAATTTGGCTTTCGATATTTTCGACATTCGATGAGCTCTCAGGAACGGATTAACATCAAATGTCGGGGGTCCACTGTATTTAGAAAATCATATTCGCATTTAACTTAGGATTTTTTTCAACTTATGATGCGTTTGTCAGAACATAGCCCATTGTAAGTCAAGAAGCACATGTACAGTATATACACCGTATATCAACAAATGAGAGACATGTATACAGCATCAAGTGACTTCATCAACTGGACTGATAAAGCCCCTGGTGGATGACACTTTAAACACTGCATACATATCTCTTTTATACAAGAAAGCTGAAGCAACCACATAACTTACCCGGTAAATAGGTGCACAGAGACAATTGATAAGGACATTTAAAGCTGCTTTCTGTACTTCTGGAGACGTGGTCATAGACTGAGTGTTTTCATGAATGCAAGCTACCAAGATTGCATAACCTGGAACTTCCTGAAAGTACAGTAATTCAGCACATTACATATGACTGGGATTAGATTTTACAACACACAATTTTTCATTGTCCTGTTATCAATTAGTATATACAATCAAAGTGTTGATACACTCAAGAACATGAAGAATTTAACTAAGATATGTGTGAGTGTGTTAGTTAAGAATGGAGGCAACTGGTTTTTGGGACCTGACATGCTGTTGGAGTGTGAGTAAGGTGACATTCTGTGAAGGGATTCAGGGAAACAGGAGAATCCTGGAGGTGGGAAGTACAGTGCCTGCACTCTAAAGCAGGGGCAGAGATATATGCAGTTTAGGAAGGGCATTGGAACTTTAGTGACCACGCAGCTCTGGCAAGACAGTGATAATGTGAATGATGATGGATGTTTTCACTCGGGTCACCCAGTCTTGGTGGGAGATGGACAGGAAGAAGAGGATTTGCATCAGAAGAATCCTAGGGACAAAATATTTTGCTCTAGTTCCTTCAGAAGCAATTATATATGTATTTTTAATGAACCTGGAATCTTTCAGGCAGTGTGGAGTCAATACTACAGACTTAGAAAGTTAAGAGTCTTAGCATGACCAAGAATTTGAGCTTGCTTCCTTCACACTCTCATATAGGTAATTAGAGAAATAGGAAGGTGTGGAGTATCTCCTTAATCCACTTTGATTTGTATAGTTATAGGTGAATTAATATTTAATATTCACATACAATGAAGAAGAAAAACTTTATAAAACTGGGATGCTTGAATGTGCGTGGATGTAGTGCAGATGATAAGAAACAGATGATTGCTGATGTTATGAATGAAAAGAAGTTGGATGTCCTGGCCCTAAGTGAAACAAAGCTGAAGGGGGTAGGGGAGTTTCGGTGGGGAGAAATAAATGGGATTAAATCTGGAGTATCTGAGAGAGTTAGAGCTAAGGAAGGGGTAGCAGTAATGTTGAAGGATCAGTTATGGAAGGAGAAAAGAGAATATGAATGTGTAAATTCAAGAATTATGTGGATTAAAGTAAAGGTTGGATGCGAAAAGTGGGTCATAATAAGTGTGTATGCACCTGGAGAAGAGAGGAATGTAGAGGAGAGAGATTTTGGGAGATGTTAAATAAATGTATAGGAACCTTTGAACCAAGTGAGAGAGTAATTGTGGTAGGCGACCTGAATGCTAAAGTAGGAGAAACTTTTAGAGAAGGTGTGGTAGGTAAGTTTGGGGTGCAAGGTGTAAATGATAATGGGAGCCCTTTGATTGAACTTTGTATAGAAAGGGGTTTAGTTATAGGTAATACATATTTTAAGAAAAAGAGGATAAATAAGTATACAAGATATGGTGTAGGGCAAAATGACAGTAGTTTGTTGGATTATGTATTGGTAGATAAAAGACTGTTGAGTAGACTTCAGGATGTACATGTTTATAGAGGGGCCACAGAAGTATCAGATCACTTTTTAGTTGTAGCTACACTGAGAGTAAAAGGTAGATGGGATACAAGGAGAATAGAAGCATCAGGGAAGAAAGAGGTGGAGGTTTATAAACTAAAAGAGGAGGCAGTTAGGGTAAGATATAAACAGCTATTGGAGGACAGATGGGCTAATGAGAGCATAGGCAATGGGGTCGAAGAGGTATGGAGTAGGTTTAAAAATGTAGTGTTAGTGTTCAGCAGAAGTTTGTGGTTACAGGAAAGTGGGTGCGGGAGGGAAGAGGAGCGATTGGTGGAATGATGATGTAAAGAGAGTACTAAGGGAGAAAAAGTTAGCATATGAGAAGTTTTTACAAAGTAGAAGTGATGCAAGGAGGGAAGAGTATATGGAGAAAAAGAGAGGTTAAGAGAGTGGTGAAGCAATGTAAAAAGAAAGCAAATGAGAGAGTGGGTGAGATGTTATCAACAAATTTTGTTGAAAATAAGAAAAAGTTTTGGAGTGAGATTAACAAGTTAAGGAAGCCTAGAGAACAATGGATTTGTCAGTTAAAAATAGGAGAGGAGAGTTATTAAATGGAGAGTTAGACGTATTGGGAAGATGGAGGGAATATTTTGAGGAATTGTTAAATGTTGATGAAGATAGGAAGCTGTGATTTCGTGTATAGGGCAAGGAGGAATAACATCTTGTAGGAGTGAGGAAGAGCCAGTTGTGAGCGTGGGGGAAGTTCGTGAGGCAGTAGGTAAAATGAAAGGGGTAAGGCAGCCGGGATTGATGGGATAAAGATAGAAATGTTAAAAGCAGGTGAGGATATAGTTTTGGAGTGGTTGGTGCAATTATTTAATAAATGTATGGAAGAGGGTAAGGTACCTAGGGATTGGCAGAGAGCATGCATAGTTCCTTTGTATAAAGGCAAAGGGGACAAAAGAGAGTGCAAAAATTATAGGGGGATAAGTCTGTTGAGTTATAGGTAGTAGATTGGCAGACAGCAACCGCCCAGGGAGGTACTACCGTCCTGCCAAGTGAATGTAAAACGAAAGCCTGCAATTGTTTTACATGATGGTAGGATTGCTGGTGTCCAATTTTCTGTCTCATAAATATGCAAGGTTTCAGGTACGTCTTGCTACTTTGGAGATAAAACTAAGATAATTACTCAGCATGAAGGCAGCAAGTCCATAACTTGTATTTATTTACTTTTCAATACTGGTATCAAGTTACAGCAATTATTTGTTTATTTACTTATTCAGTGACAGTAGTTATTTATTTACCTATTTATTTAGCATATCATACTCATATTTGACTTGTGATATTTTCAACTTACGATGGTTTGAATGGAACATAACACCATCATGACTCAAGACTGCAAACAAACCATACCATGGGCGGGGATAGAACCTGCGATCAGAGTCATAAAACTCCAGACCAATGCATTAGTTGAGGAGCAGCTGTATTACAGTAAATCTTACCTGAGGGTCAAGAGTCTGAAGAAGATCATCACTGGCAGGAATAGTTAGTTTATCACACAGGGCACCTTGGACGGCTGGCATCACACTGCATACATACAGTGTGTCTAATGCAAACACTGCTGTCTCCATCCTGGTAGTGATGTACAATGGTTTGTCAATGCTAACCTTATACAGCATATATTAATAATGCTTTTATTGTTTTCATCAAGAAAATTTACAAAACACAGGTTACTGTGATTGTTTGAGTGACCTGTGTCATTCAGATGGTTAAAATCTACAATACACACAACACTGAATGGGTTAGACATGTTTTCTTTCTTTTTAACACATCGGCCATCTCCCGCCGAGGCGGCAGGGTGACCCAAAAAAGAAAAAAACACTCACCATCATTCACACACAATCACTGTCTTTGCAGAGATGCCCAGATACGACAGTCTAGATGTCACTCCAAACAACAAATAACCCAAACCCCTTCTTTAAAGTGCAGACACTACTTCCTAACTCCAGGACTCAAGTCTGGCTAACCGGTTTCCCCGAATCCCTTCGCAAAATGTTACCCTGCTCACACTCCAACAGCTGGTTAAGTCCTGAAAACCATTCGTCTCCACTCACTCCTATCTAACATGCTCATACATGCTCCAACCCCCCTTTCATGCAAAACCTCCATTACCCCTCCTATATTTATAGATAAAATTACCTGCCAGAAAACAAATTTGCAGTACTAACCATTAAGATTCTTGGACAATGGTACATCAATATTGACAAACAAGAAGCTGGGAGCATAAGACCAAAAAGTTAATATCTACATATTTTTATCTTCAGTATTTACACAAAAGATTTATGGTAACAAGGGAAGGTTGATATTAACCCTTTGACTGTTTCGGTCATATATATATGTCTTATGAGGTACTGTGTTTGACATATATATACTCATAAATTCTAGCGGCTTCAAATCAAGCAGGAGAAAGCTGGTAGACCCACATGTGAGAGAATGGATCTGTGTGGTCAGTGTGCACCATATAAAAAAAATCCTGCAGCACGCGAGTGCATAATGAGAAAAAAAAATCTCAGACCGTTTTTTTTTAATTAAATTGCTGACTTTGTGGTGTATTTTCATAAAGTATTTATGGTTGTATTCTCATTTTCTTGGTTTCATTTGATAGAATGGAAAACATATTATAGAAATAGAGGTGATTTTGATTGGTTTTACTATAAAAAGAACCTGGAAATGGCGCTTAAAGTAGGGGAAATGTTTGATTTTTGCCGATGTTCAAAAGTAAACAAATGATGTCATTGTCCAATAAATGTCCAATTAGCCATTCTAATATGCAGTCATAAATGGGTTGATATTATTTGTACAATTATTACAGTATTGCAGTAGTCTGCATAACAGTAAATCTTCTATTTTTAGTTTGAATAAAAATTCAAAATAGAAAACAAGAGTAATGTCAGAGGGGCCTGGAGATGTGATTGATGAACAAATAAAATGTTATTTTAGAGCCAGGAATGTCTGCATTGTTCATTCTGGACCTTATTTTAAAATTGTCATATTTTTTAATTTTCGTGAAATTGGCCAAATTGCAAATTTCTGACCATGTTATTGGATAGTCGATATTGGTAAATGGGCAGTTTCTTGTACTCAGTCGATAGAAAAAAAGGAGTTCTAAAGAAATATCTGAGAGTCTGGTTGACTGGAACAATGGAATTAGCCAAAAATAGGGCTCAAAGTGGGCGAAATTGCCGATTTGTAAATATCGCCTAAGTCGCTAACTTCGCGAGAGCGTAATTCTGTCAGTTTTCCATCAAATTTTGTTTTTTTTGGTATCATTACAATCGGGAAAAGATTCTCTATCATTTCATAAGAAAAAATAATTTTTTTTTTTAAATTTTGCAACACCAGGAGACACCTCAGGATTGGGGGTTGTGACAGTCAAGGGGTTAATCATCAACTTAACTCTTTAACTATTACTTGTGCAGAGTAGGTAACATTCACAGTTTTCTGAAACAAGGACAAGTTGATCTGAAATGAGGTAGTATGTCAAAACAAGAATAAGTGCCTGATAAATGAACATATGTCTGAAACAAAGACAGGTAGGTCTGAAACAAGGACAGGTAGATCTGAAACCAGAATAAATGTGCCTGATCAAATGTGTGTCTGAAACAAAGACAAGCAAGATGAGCCAAGGACAATTATGCCTGATACAAGGACAGGTATATCTGAAACAAGGACGTGTCTTATGCAAGAATGGTATTCCTATTAAAGAACAAAAGTGAATAATGACCACTTGTGCCCAAAGCAGAGAACAGAGAAAAATACTTACTTAGGGCTGAAGGATTCATTAAGTACCATTGCCACCAGCTGTAGTAACAACTGAAGGCCCTTCAGGGATACAAAATGTTCCACTGGTTTCCACCTTGCTCTATGAGGCAAGTTCTCTAGAAGGTATTCAATATTGCGCTCAATTACTTCTGTTGTTACATTCACAGCCTGCAAAGTAAAAAATTACATGTTTTCTTCCCAATTTCAAATATAGGAGGGCCTCACATACACAGTACTTTCTCTTTGGTGCTCAGCATTGGGATCAAACTGAGCCATTGTTCATTATGTTCTACCTGCTAGCGATTATCACGGGCAGGCTGAACAATGGCTCAACTAAAAGCCAATGAAAATGTGGAACACCAAAAATAGGTGTATATGCGAGGCCCTCTTTCTAAACATTAAAGTAGTCGCACTAATTATGATCTAGCTAACGTACAACTATTTAAAAATGTATTCATTTGCCTATAAAAGCACTCATACTGCTGCTGCCAAAATCAAATGGCAAGCCACAGCCACCTCCCTTTCCTCAGCAAACAGCTAGCACAACAGTAGCAAAGGCCCTGACTGGAAGCAAAAACATACAGAAAGGTAAAGGCAGCTCCAAAATACTTGAATGAACAGCCATTCACCGAAACCCCTTCCCTTTTGAAGGTCTAGTTGCAGTTCTATAGGTTTGCTAGCAAGACTGACCTTATATGCTGGTGAGGAGTGTTGTGATCCTGAACTGTGGTCTCTGGTCGTCATCCTCTGCAGGTGCTGAACTTTTAAGGCTAGGTGGGCTTCAAAATAGTGCTTTATACTTAGACAAACTTGCTTCACTGTTTGCCACATCATCACTTCATTTGGTTCATCAAGAGAATCTTGTTCCCAAACATCTTGGAATAAGGAGAGAGTAGAGAGCATGTTTAAAACTTTACGAAGGCCATCCTGCTCATCGAATCTTTCTAGAATTGCTCTAAAGCGGAAAACCATGCCAAAGAACATAACTGAATGAGTTCTAGAAGACTGATGGGAGCACTCCAAAAGCCACAGAGCATAGCGAATTAATTCACAGAGTACATTATCCGGGAGGAGACATATCCGCTCCACAGCTTCTTCACAGTAAGCTAGATACCAAAGGCAGAGTGCTACTCCATCTGCCGGAAGAGATGGGCGGGGGACCTGACACAGATAAAAGAATTATATAATTTACAGGTAAATTTTAATGAGCCTCACATTAAATGAAATTATGAGTAACTACTGCATTTTCCAGAACATAAGGTGCACTTTTTGTCCCCCACAAAAAGTCTTGGAAAATCAGCCTGTGCTGTATATGCTGAAGATCAAAGTCAAGGGTAAGATCTGGGTTATGCTTTAGCAGATGTTTACTAATGTTATGTTACAACTACTTGGAAACAATGTCTCATATATCTTATATGCTCCTGCACCTCATATGCCAGAAAATACAGTACATAAAATGTAACAAAACTATTTAGAGTACTCAAATTATACAATGAATATAAATTTTCATTATATTGCTATACACAAGAGGATAAACGCATAATTAAAATACTAACCTGCAAGAGCTTTTGCATTCCACCCATATTGACAAATTCAAGGCAGAATTTCTTGTGAAAGAGAAGTGAACCAAGGAAACGCAAGCCTTCAAAGGAAAGGCGAGCATTTCCAGTTTTTCTGACGTTCATATAGTGGAAGATTAATTCAAGGGCGTTGTGTTCATATACATGACCCAGAGACTGTTAAAGAAAAAATAGACTTAATAGTAACGGGCTGGAGTTTTGAGACTCTATGACCGCGGGTTCAATCCCGGCCGGGGTATGGTTTAACAGTAGTAGTGGTAGTAGTAGTTGTGATATTTACAGAGCAATCAATGTACAGTGGAACCCCGGTTTTTGTACATCCTAATTTGTATGTAAAACTATAGTTATTCTCTATAAAATGTATTTTTTGTTAATATTTCCCATAAGAAATAATGCAAATCCAATTAATTCATTCCAGACACCCAAAAATATTAACAAAAAATACCCTGCCTCGGTGGAAGATGGCCGACTTGTTGAGAGAAAAAAAAAAAAAAAATTAGAGAGAATAACTATAGTTTTATACACAAACTAGGACATACGAAAACTGAGGTTCCACTGTAGGTCACTCTGTACTTGTATCAATAAAAATGTAATGATATACAACACAATCAAATCAAAGAACAATTAACAGCATCAATTAAAAAAGTAGTAGTACAGTGGACCCCCGCTTAACGATCACCTCCAAATGCGACCAATTATGTAAGTGTATTTATGTAAGTGCATTTGTACGTGTATGTTTGGGGGTCTGAAATGGACTAATCTACTTCACAATATTCCTTATGGGAACAAATTCGGTCAGTACTGGCACCTGAACATACTACTGGAATGAAAAAAGTTCGTTAACCGGGGGTCCACTGTATTTGCTTCTGAATAATTCTTACCAGAGCCTTAAAATTGCCTAACAAAAATGATATCCAACACTCATATGATAGTTATTTAACAATCAAAAAACTCATAAAAAAAATATTAGAGTGGAGAGGAAGTCATTACCTCTTGGTATTCACCAATCGGTCGGAGGTATTTAAGAACAAATATCTGCTGCGTGTCACGTGTCATGGGATACATTTGGTAGGTTCCTACGATGTAACTGCTGAGTTCAGCCCAGGAGGAATTGGAGCAGTCAGAGTTAAGCATTGGATCACCCAGGTCCCGTGATGCCTTGGGCGAGCCAAAAATGTTGAAAGTCCCACTGGTGTTGGTATTTTTGGGTGAGGTGGTGCATGCATCTGAAATGCAAAACATAATAAAGTTAATGTTTACAAATTACAGATAAATTTTTTGGTAATGTAGGATCAGCTGAAAGTTTTACCATAACTGTTAAAAATACGAGAAAAAGTTTAATGAATACAAAACTTTTGAAAAGACAAGATCTGCATTATGAATAGCTACCAATTAGCTGTATCGAGATTCAGCTGGCTACTGGTAAAAAAATAAAAATTAAATAAAAAAAGCCTTCTCTCCATGGTAGTTATATAATAAAAAGAACCATGATTGCTCGTCTTATTTCTGAAATCGTAGTGAAAGTAGAAATTAGTCAGGTCAGGAGGGGTGTTAATGTTGCAGTTTTATAAATGTAGTGTAGGCATGCCTCCGGCAAGACAGTGATGAAGTGAATGATGATGAAAGTTTTTCTTTTTCGGGTCACCCTGCCTTGGTGGGAAACGGCCGATGTGTTAATAAAAAAAAATAATTTTTATTCACAGACTTTTCACTGACTTCAGATTTGAAACAACTGACACTCTTAACCCTTAAACTGTCCAAACGTAGATCTACGTTTGTGCACGCAGCGCTCCGACCTTGATTTTCTCCATAAGAAACAATGTAAAAAATCATAGATCTACGTTCAGAGCCTACGTGAGCAAACGTAGATCTACGTTTGGACAGTTTAAGGGTTAATTAGAGGGCCATCCAAAATAAAGAGAATATAGGCATCCATTTCTTCTCCCAAAGCAAATTGAATCGAGGGCTCAACTTCCCTGAAATTGTCTGCGAAGTTACCAGGGATGAAGCATCTGGGTACATGACCAAGAAGAGAAATAACATCCTTAAACCAGCAGACAATGGGTCCTCCATTTACTGTCATCTTAGCTAACATTTACTTAGAGCACCCAGGAAGGATTTATATCTGATACATGTAAACTTCATAAATGTAACATTTGTGAAAGGATTCAGGGAAACCAGGAGGCCAGACTTGATTCATGGAGATGGGAGTACAGTGCCGGCACTCTGAAGGAGGGGTGCTAATTTTGCAGTTTTATAACTGTAGTGTAAGCATGCCTCTGGCAAGACAGTGATGGAGTGAATGATGATGAAAGTTTTTCTTTTTCAGGCCACCCTGCCTTGGTGGGAAATGGCTTGTGTTAATAATAATAATAATAAAAAAAAAAAAACATGCAAAGTACATTATTTTAGGACATTTAAACTGTTTTATCTGTGCACCTCCGGGGAGACAGTGATGATGCAAATGATGGTGAAAGTGTTTCTTTTTCAGGTCACCCTGCCTCAGTGGGAGACAAGTGGGTTAAGAAAAATTTAAATTTGATGCATGGAATAAAAATAATCACAAAGATGTCCAATTAACCCCAATTCTAGTTCCCTATACTTATTTTTCTTTCAACACACCAGTTGTATCCCACCAAGGCAGAGTAATCCAAAAAGAAAAACAAAATTTTCTCTTTAAATTTAGTAATGTATACAGAAGGGGTTTAGATATCTATCCATGCCCACAAAATATTGTGCTAGAGCAGCTACTCACATTTAACTTTTTTAGAATTGGATTCGTGAATTTCGTCTTTGTGATCTGCTTCTTCTCCATTTGTGAGAGGTGGCGCACTGATCGATTCATTGTTGAGGTGGGCAAAAGGACGTTCGGGAACTTTGGATCCTGAACTTTTCTCTTCTTCCACGCCGCCACCTAGAAAAAAAAAAGTGGGTTAAAAACGAATTCTTAAAGTGATATCAACAATTTAAAATGTTAAATAATTTCAGTGCCACAGACATAATGGGTTCCCTAAATTACAAAAGCCCAAAATACGATGATTCACACTTACGAACAAGGTCCGGGAAAAGGGGGTTACTTGCCTCTTGCTCCTGGCATTTTAGTCACCTTTATGACATGCATGGCTTACGGAGGAAGGATTCCTCTCCACTTTCCCAAGAGATCAAGAAAATAGCTGCAGTTGGCACTCATTTTACAATTTCATGAGTCAAAACTATTAGATTCTGACAAATTCACAGAGGTTTTGAAAGAAAAATACAGATGTTGTTGACATGGATTTTGCAAAGGAACCTGACAAATGACAAATGCCATTTTTTTTTTACCAACAGATTACACAGGCACTTTGGAGGACCTTTGTCAAAGACATCAACATTGGCAAAATATTAGTATATTCACCTACTTTTATATAATTAATCTTAGCAGATCAATATCTATCAAAAATTTGTTCAGTGTAGATGTGTTTAAAATGCACAAAACTTTAACCACATAATCACTGTTTGTGATTATGTGCGAGTGAGGTGAAAGTGTTGATTAATGATGAAAGTAATTTCTTTTTGGGGATTTTCTTTCTTTTTGGCTCACCCTACCTCAGTGGGAGATGGCCAGCTTGTTAAAAAAAAAAAAAAAAAAAAAAAAAAAAAAACTTTATGAAATATTAGTAATAATGGTAGAATTACTGATAAAATGTTAGGTAAAAGGACACAAGTGCAACTAATGTGACATTTCATTGTGGCAATGTTGTGGCTGTCCAGGAGCTTTGTCAAGCTGTTACAAACAATGCAAGGACAGAGAGGGTATATATATAGTTGCATCTGTGACCTCTTACCTAACATCATAAAACATTACCTGATGGGAATTACGTAAAGAACATTTTCAATTAACTGTCCAAGTCCATAATGCAATATGCACCATCGGAAAACAAATGGCACTATTGTGGATGCATCACAATATAAGGGATAATTTGATCAGCATAATAAAAATACATATATATGTAGTATATAGGTAGTAGGTTGGTAGACAGCAACCACCCAGGTGGGTACTACCATCCTGCCAAGTGAGTGTGAAACGAAAGCCTGTAATTGTTTTACATGATGGTAGGATTGCTGGTGTCTTTTGTCTGTCTCATGAATATGCAAGATTACAGGTACGTCTTGCTACTTCTACTTACACTTAGGTCACACTACACATACATGTACATGTTTATTTATACACACCCCTCTGGGTTTTCTTCTATTTTCTTACTAGTTCTTGTTCTTGTTTATTTCCTCTTATCTCCATGGGGAAGTGGAACAGAATTCTTCCTCCGTAAGCTATGCATGTTGAAAGAGGCGACTAAAATGCCAGGAGCAAGGGGCTAGTAACCCCTTCTCCTGTATAAATTAATATATTTAAAAAGAGAAACTTTCGTTTTTCTCTTTGGGCCACCCTGCCTTGGTGGGATACGGCCGGTTTGTTAAAAAAAAAAATATATATATATGTAGTAAAACTGAGGTAAGGTTACAACACGCTCACAACTGAGGTAACAACTATAATTTAAATAGTAGTAAATATTATGAGTGAAATTTGTTTGACATTGTTGCAACTAATAGAAGAAACAGGTTTCAAGCATTTCTAAATTATTCTTGCCATGAACTCCAAACTGAACAGCACAAGAACAAGACTTTCACTGTCTTTATTGCACTTACTCTCATCTTTAAGCTCCCATAATCGTTTCAGCATAATAGGTACAAGATGGGTGTTATAATCCCTAAAAGAAGCTGCAATTTCAGGAATGTCCATGGCTGCCGCAAGGAGGCCTGTGGCATAAGTTCGGAGAGGTTCTGGGCCTTTCTCTGACCACGAGAAAAGTCTCATTACGGTTGTCTCCGATTCGCTGAATACCTGTGGAGAAGCATGTAAAATTATGTAAAATGTTCAAGCTATTAGTAATTTATCTGTGGCAAGAATTTTTTAATTATTAATACAAGGTAATAGATAAATTAAATTGAAGAGGATCCCACAACAGGGTTGAAATATATAGATCAATCTCCTGAGTTTCTCCCTCCATGTGGTTGCTATTGAGCAAACTATCATTTGTAAAGATTCTGCTAACTAAACAACTGTAAAATCTTTCTTTCTTCATTCAACAAACTGGTTGTATCCCACCAAGGTAGGGTGGCCCAAAAAGAAAAACAAAAGTAACTGTAAAATCATAATCAAATAATTAAAAATTATTTCCTTTTCACCTGTAAAGAGTCATGGCAATCAAAGCTTGTTAAATTATATAGATTTTTCTATTACATTCCTTTATTATCTCCTGCATCCTCTACAATTTTGTTCAGTATGAATACATGCACAACTGTATATATATCAAAACCTTTTCCAACATTCACAAAAGGATTTTCTCCTATGCATTTTAGACTGACAAGAATGAAGACTGCAAATGTTATGGAAAAGTGTGGTATGAACCTAAGTGTTCTACAAGATTAAGAGGTTTGCACTACAATGATATCATGGAAAAATAGACAAATGCATATAATGCAATCCTTTATTGGCAACATTTTGCCCACACGATATCATCACATTGAATGAATGAATGAATGACAAGAGGCGATGGAAACATACTAGTGAATTTAAGGTGCCAGATGAGAGAATCGCAAAGAAATGACAGAGACTTGCGAGACAATACATCAACATGTATGTGTAGATATGAAAAAGAGCAATATACATGGCACTGTATTCTATTTCTTACTGATTAGAATAGCATACATTTTTTTTTCAATATTCTGGTGGTTGCAGCACACACTAACCTTTATACCACATCACAGTAATCCACCTCTGAGAAAAATATTTTATAGAACCCTTCCAGGAAGGAAGGACAGAAGGGAGAGAGTGGGAAGTCAGGGGAATGGGGATGAGGGGAAGAGAGAGAGCACATAAAAACAATGAAATGTTGAAATTTACAGGGAGAAACGGAATAATTGGTTAGGAGGAATGAATACACAATATCATGACTGCAGCAATTCAAATGGAATACATGTATGTGCATGTACTTTACATCTAATATATCAAAATGCTGATCTGATACTATGCAGTGTACTGACACTATACTAGTGGAGTGGCAGTACTAGATTCTTGTGAGGAAGCTAAGAGTGGAAGATAATGTAAAAGAATGAGCGTAGCTTTTAACTAGCATTACATGTACCAAGAAAGTCAAAAGTCACTTATTTCCACTGGGGTCCTTGTGGCTTACCTGAGGAATGTCAAGGCCATAAAGCAAGTCTAACAAGAGACGACATGCTGCTGTATTAAGGTCGGTAGAATCTTGAGTCAAGCCTAAACTAGTGAAATAATTTTCGCGGAGATAATGATTCACCAATTTTGTCACAAAATTATCCTTTTTAAAAAGGGCACGTAAAATTTGTCCCAGGGCACATTCTGGCTCAGAAGTCACAGGGTGGCGATCATCAAAAGGATCTGGATCCTGAAATTTTTTCAAATTATTAAAATTCGAACATTTGTGCAAGACATGTACACATTGTAAACTGCATAACATGTGGACCTACAGCCATGCTGGGAACTGTTTGCCAGAGACATTTACATGGGCTTTACAAAAACACATACAAAATTACACAAATTGCAAAACATACCACAAGAGGAGTGCACTGTGCCCTACAGGCAACAGATTATGGGTGAGCAATTAAAAAGTATAAAATAATCTAATGTCTGGCAACCCTTTATTGTATTCATAATTAGCATTTTTTTTTATTTTAAATAACTCAAAATACAGCTCTCTACTACTGTTCTCATTTCTTAAAAAAAAAAAAAAAAAAAAAAAAAATATATATATATATATATATATACAGAATATCATACCTTTTTTAAGAAGTTAAAAGTTTCTCGTTCAAATAGCTCACATAGTTTAATAAGATGAGGTGTTGGATCTTTAGAAGCAACAGACTGATCTTCTTCCCAGAGACGAAGAATCTCTTGAAGCTCCTGAACAATGTCACGGTTAGAGCTGGGCATTATGATGATACTCAGTGCCTTTCCTGCAATATAAGAAATTATTAATGTAGTGCAAATGTCAAAATACGGAATAGTAATTAAATACCTAACCACATGCTGGTAATTCTAGAACTGCCAGAGTACGGATTAAAATCTCAGTCACTCCAATGAATGGTTACACTTACTCGTAAATTTTCAACATTACTGCTCAATTTTTTTTACTGTATATACAGAATTTATATGATGCATCTTAACCTTTAAATGGTCCAAACATATATATATATGTTTTTTCAACATTTGAAAGTATGTAAAAAATGTAGATCTTCTTTCTTGTTTTACATTTGAAAATGTGTAAAAAAAACTTTTATCTACATTTTTTTTGTTATATTTGAAAATATGTAAAAAAAAAAGTAGATCTACTTTTGGAGCACTACGGATTTGAACGTCGATCTGTTTGGACCGTTTAAGGGTTAAAAGCAACATCAGATTATTTAACTTGTGGTAACCTAAAACATAATTGCAGTGTAGACCATTTGAAGTTTGCAGATTTTTACTGGGTAGAGTATACCCAAATGGGTTACTGTACTTAACCCTTTAGTGCAGTGACTGCCTGACTTTGCCTTTTCTCTTCTTTGTCATATTTTTATTATTACATTCAAAACAAAACTCTAAACCCACAAGGGTCATGCAGCGCTGCTCTTCCTTTTCATAGATTTCCACGAAATAATTTGGGAACAGTTCTACTGGTAGGCTTCATACTTTTAATGCTGGTATGCCATACCCAGAGGAAGGTTCAGACTGTTATTAGGTTGTGCAGGTGCTGCTTTGACAATTTCACAGAACCAAAATATGATAGTGGCTTCTGTGATCAATTTGAGAATGTCTTTTCTAATCTTCAAACTAAGATTTTGTCCAGATTTTTAACCCTGGAAAGTCAATGTATCATTGAGGACTGTCTTATTGCCACTGTGGTCCTTCAATCTTGCCCCCAGGATGTGACCCACACCAGTTCACTAACAACCAGGTACCTAGTTACTTCTAAAGTGAACAGAGACACCAGGTGCAAGGAAACAAACCCAATGTTTCCACCCAGCCGTGGATTGATCCACTTCGAGGACAGCGTGAAACAAGCTTTTATGCCACAAGACGGGCAGAAAGCAGCAACTTCACTTTGGCTGTACCCTTCTCCAGAACATCACTCCATCTGAGATCATATATACCCAGGATGACTCTAGTATGGAACAAATTTGTACAGCATAATGATGTCAACGAGATAACGTCAGTTGATCAAATGAAAATGCTGGCCCACAGATGGATCCAACTTCATCCTGTTCCCTACTTGTATGTCTCATAACAATAAAAATGCTTTCAAATGAGCTGATGTAGGTAACAGCTCTTAGCTTGTCAATAAAGTTAGGAATCCTTAACCTGTAAATAGCTTGTCAATAAAACTAGGGATCCTTAACCTTGTCAAACCCTGTGTAAAAAAAAAAAAAAAAAAAAAAAAAAAAAAAAAAAAAAAAAAAAAAAACTCAAGTGTGCAAGGCGAGAGCATTACCTACCAGGCCACAGGACAGTGAATCTTACTTAGAGAAAGGGTCTGATTGTTACTGAAATGTGCAATAACTTGAGAATGTTAGACTTGGTAAATTCTGGGATAATAATAGATGGATACTCTTTGACAGATTTCAGCAATTAATTATATGGTGGTTTGAAATGTGCAATGCAAGTTTATTTTACATTTTAGATATTATTGTTGTAAAAATGTCAAAAAAAAAAAAAAAACTAATCTAACCAAATGAAATGCACTTATTTCAGCCTAAAATAACCTAATATAACTTAACCTTATTCTGCCATAGGTAGATATGAATCTTTGTTTACATTTGGCTAGACACATAACATGACTTAATTTACTAAATGCTGATTAGCTGCACAAACAAAATAAATATATTATTTTTGCTAACATCTCCCAAAACAACAATATGCCCAACAAATACTTTTGTGATGTACATAGGTTAAAATAAAATAATGTATTGCAAAATAAAAGATACTGACTAAGTTCAGCTAAGCAATAGCCAACTGGTTCATCAGTGCAAAATAGAAATATCAGTACACTGATAAGTTGCACATAGGAGAGAGAAGCTTATAATGACATTCCAGTCTGACCTGGAACATTTACAAGTCACACTGCGACTTCTCAGTGGTCCAAGTCAGACTGAAATGTCATCATAAGTTGGGTCATAAGCAGATTATTTGTGTATTGTTCCAGTCATGGTACTGTGCCTTTTTTATCCTTTAGAAATATCAGTTCACATTCATGCAGAAGAAAACCAATGCTCCATGTTCAAGAATGGGGTAGAGAAGACAGCTGTTTTAGTATATATCAAGTATTGTTGTATTTGTGGGGAAATGGCAAGCATGTAGAGGTCATACAAGACCTGAGGAATGGGTCATAGTCAGGTACAATCCAAGGGAAGGGAAGGGATGATCCAATATCTTGTATCAAGAGCCCTTCACCATCATGAAGAAACATCCCCCTGAAGAGATAAGTTTTGTTTGAGATCTCACAGCATCACCTGCTAGGATGAGGGGATTATATATTCATAGGGAAGCCCTAAATCTGTAGGGGTCCTGCTACATATGGGGATGGGATTATTACAATCATGGGAGAGGCCCTAAATCTGTAGGGGTTCTGCTACACATGGGGATGGGATTATTATATTCATGGGGGAAGCCCTAAATCTGTAGGGGTCCTGCTACACATGGGGATGGGATTATTACAATCATGGGAGAGGCCCTAAATCTGTAGGGGTTCTGCTACACATGGGGATGGGATTATTATATTCATGGGGGAAGCCCTAAATCTGTAGGGGTTCTGCTACACATGGGGATGGGATTATATTCATGGGGGTAGCCCTAAATCTGTAGGGGTCCTGCTACACACATGGAGATGGGATTATATTCATGGGGGAAGTCCTAAACCCACAGGGGTCATACAGCATCTGGGTGAATGGGAAATAAACAGATTCACTCCAAGAAAGTGGAAGCCAGGTGCAAACCCTTGGATCATGAGTCCTCCCTCCCCATCATGGAACCTTCCTTGATGGGTGGTGACTAGAAAGCAATCAGGTTATGGTGTGTGGGGGGGGGGGAGAGAAGCTCAAATTCCTTGAATCAAGAGTGCCTCCCTAGTATCAAGGCACTGCCCTAGAACAGTGCCAGAGGATCCATGCAGGAGGTTGTAGTGCAACACGACACTGCAAAAAAAACAGTGAATATAATGTTGCAATGACTATGGGCGGCTCAAGTTCCTAGAATCAAGAGCACCTCCCTTGCATCAAGGCACTGCTCTAGGACAGTGCCAGAGGAACCCTACAAGAAGGTGCAGTGCAACATGGCACTGCAGGAGGCTAGCAACAGTGAACCAACAATGTTGCAATGAGCAGCTCATATTCCTTGAATCAAGAGCACTACCTTAGCACCAAGGCAATGCCCTAGAACAGTGCCAGAGGATCCGTGCAGGAGGTTGCAGTGCAACATGGCACTGCAAGATGCTAGTAACAGTAAATATATTGCAATGACTATTGTGGCTCGAATTCCTCGAATCAAGAGCACCTCCCTAGCATCAAGGCACTGCCTTAGGACAGTGCCAAATAATCCGTGCAGGAGGTTGCAGTGCAACATGGCACTGCAGGAGGCCAGTAACAGTGAACCACAACATTGCAATAACTATGGGTGTCCAACCAGCCATTCACTGATATACCACCACCACCCCCCTATAATACCCACGTTCCAAATAAACACCCGTTCACCTAAACGGTGAAACCATTACCGTGAGAGGTGAGGCAGTGTCAAACATGCGGAGGCAACTATGGTATAGATGGAGAGATGAAGGAGGGAAGTTTGAATGTAGGAAAGATATCCAACCAGACAGTTATTGGTGGTGTCTCTGGCTGCCACCCATCACCACACGCTCACCAACACTCCCCCACCACCACCACCACTCCAGCCTCACCTCTGGTACACCGGTGGAGGGGTAGACAGCGGGTTTTCTGGCGCAGTTTATGTCATTCACATGTCTGGTAACGCCATTGTTTGTGCCACACTGCTGCTCTTAACATCCTGCCATCCTGGTAAATATTTCCCTCACTATGTACCCTCGTATTCAACCCTACACTAACATCTACATAGTGGAAAAAAAAATTGCATTTATTGTAATGTGTTTGGTGATATTTATGGTTTTTGCTGAGTGTTTTTGGATTATTTTTGTGGGAAATATTATCCAGGTGGTTTGTTTACTTCTGGAAGAAGAGATATTAAGCCAAAAGAGAGACCATTTGTTGACTCAGGTGTTAGTAAGTAAAGTAGAGTAGGTAAAGTGAGTAAAGTAAAATAAGTAAAGTAAGTAAAGTGAAGTATGTAAAGTGAGTAAAGTAGTAAAGTATATAAATAAGCAAAGTGAAGTATGTAAAGTAAGTAAATAAGTAAAGTAAGTAAAGTAAGTGAAGTATGTACAGTAAGTAAAGTAAAGTAAAAGGACCCCAATGGAAATAAGTCACTCTGTCTGACTTTTTTGGGTTATCCCAGGTTCTCTACACATATGCTGCTATGTATGATAATTCTATGTAACTGTATTTGTGTATACCTGAATAAATTTACTTACTTACTTACTTAAAGTAAGTGGGTTATCCTGGTGTGTAATCTACACATGTGCTGCTATGTATAATTTATGTAACTACATTTATGTGTACCTGTACCTGAATAAACTTGCTTAAGTAAGTAAAGTAAGTTTATTTAGGTACAGGTACACATAAATACAATTATCATACATAGTGTAAATTACCCAGGATAGTCCAAAAAAAAGATCAAAGTGACTTATTTCCAACTTATTATCCCTGTTCCTATTTTCTTCCCGAGAAAACTTTCTTTCCTTTATAATTTTCACCCAAAATTTGGGAAAATTCCCCCAAAATTAGAGCTTCAATAAAGAGTGAGCTTTGCTACCCCTTAACAACCCCAATAACAACACCACCTGCTCCTTCAAGGATAGTACGTACGTACGTAAGAAAGTACGTACGTGAGAAAGTACGTACGTACGTAAGAAAGTAAGTACGTATGTAAGAAAGTAAGTGCGTACGTAAGAAAGTAATTACGTACGTAAGAAAGTAGGTGGGTATGTACGTAAGAAAATAAGTACGTATGTAAGAAAGGTAAGCACATAAGAAAGTAAGTACGTATGTAAGAAAGTACGTACGTAAGAAAGTAGGTACGTACGTAAGAAAGTAAGTACGTACCTAAGAAAGTAATTACGTATGTAAGAAAGTAGGTGGGTATGTACATAAGAAAATAAGTACGTATGTAAGAAAGTAGGTAAGCACATAAGAAAGTAAGTACGTATGTAAGAAAGTGCGTACGTACGTGCATAAAATATGTACGTACATAAGAAAGTAAGTACGTACGTACATAAGAAAGTAAGTACGTACATACATAAGAAAGTAAGTACGTGTGTACGTAAGAAAGTAAGTACGTATGTACGTAAGAAAGTACATACGTAAGAAAGTAAGTATGTACGTACGTAAGAAAGTATGTATGTATGTAAGAAAGTACGTATGTACACAAGAAAGTAAGTACGTACGTACGTAAGAAAGTACGTACGTACATAAGAAAGTACGTACATAAGTAAGAAAGTAAGTACATATGTACGTAAGAAAGTAAGTATGTACGTAAGAAAGTACATACGTAAGAAAGTAGGTAAGTATGTACCTAAGAAAGTAGGTAAGTACATATGTAAGAAAGTATGTACGTATGTAAGAAAGTAGTTAAGTATGTAAGAAAGTAAGCACGTATGTAAGAAAGTAAGTACGTACATAAGAATGTAGGTAAGTACGTAAAAAACTAAGCGCAAGAAAGTAAGTACGTATGTAAGAAAGTAAGTACATGTACGTATGTAAAAAAGTAAGTACATACATAAGAATGTAGGTAAGTATGTAAGAAACTAAGTGCAAGAAAGTAAGTACATATGGAAGAAGGTAAGTATGTAAGAAAGGAAGTACATAAGAAAATACGTAAGAAAGTAAGTGTGTACATAAAATAAGTGTGTACATAAGAAAGTGCATACATAAAGTAAGTACGCAAGTACATAAAGTATGTATATAAAGTATGTATATAGGAGTGAATGGAGACAAATGGTTTTTAATACTTGATGTGCTGTTGGAGTGTGAGCAAAGTAACATTTATGAAGGGGTTCAGGGAAACCGGCAGGCCGGACTTGAGTCCTGGAGATGGGAAGTACAGTGCCTGCACTCTGAAGGAGGGGTGTTAATGTTGCAGTTTAAAAACTGTAGTGTAAAGCACCCTTCTGGCAAGACAGTGATGGAGTGAATGATGGTGAAAGTTTTTCTTTTTCGGGCCACCCTGCCTTGGTGGGAATCGGCCAGTGTGATAATAAAAAAAAAATAAAAAACTAGGTATGTAAGAAAGTGCATACATAAGAAACTAAGTATGTAAGACAGTAAGCATGTAAGCACGTAAGAAAGTGCGTACATAAGAAACTAAGTACATGTATATAAGACAGTAAGTGTGTATGTAAGAAAGTAAGTACATAAGAAAGTAAGTATGTACATAAGAAAGTAAGTATGTATGTAAGAAAGTAAGTACGTATGTAAGAAAGTAAGTACGTATGTAATAAAGTAAGTACAGCATGTATGTAAGAAAGTAAGATGTATGTAAGAAAGTAAGATGTATGTAAGAAAGTAAGACGTATGTGAGAAAGTAAGTACAGTGGACCCCCGCATACCGTTGGCATCACATAACGTTAAATCCTCATACCGATACATTTTATCGCTAAGATTTTGCCTCGCATACCGCTAAAAAACCCGCTCAACGCTATTCGTCTGAGACGCGTCTAATGTGCGGCCTGAGCCAGCCTCACATGTTCCGCCGGTGGCATTGTTTACCAGCCAGCCTCCGCGGTAACATCCAAGCATACAATCGGAACATTTCGTATTATTATAGTGTTTTTGGTGATTTTATCTGCAAAATAAGTGACCATGGGCCCCAAGAAAGCTTCTAGTGCCAACCCTACAGGAATAAGGGTGAGAATTACTATAGAGATGAAGAAAAAGATCATTGTTAAGTATGAAAGTGGAGTGCGTATCTCCGAGCTGGCCAGGTTGTATAGTAAACCCCAATCAACCATCGCTACTATTGTGTCCAACAAAACGGCAATCAAAGAAGCTGTTCTTGTCAAAGGTTCAACTGTGTTTTCGAAACAGAGATCGCAAGTGATCGAAGATGTTGAGAGACTCTTATTGGTATGGATAAATGAAAAACAGATAGCAGGAGATAGCATCTCTCAAGTGATCATAAGTGAAAAGGCTAGGAAGTTGCATGAGGATTTAATTAAAAAAATGCCAGCAACTAGTGATGATGTGAGTGAATTTAAGGCCAGCAAAGGCTGGTTTGAGAGATTTAAGAAGCGTAGTGGCATACATAGTGTGATTAGGCATGGTGAGGCTGCCAGTTCGGACCAAAAAGCAGCTGAAAAATATGTGCAGGAATTCAAGGAGTACATAGACAGTGAAGGACTGAAACCTGAACAAGTGTTTAATTGTGATGAAACAGGCCTGTTTTGGAAGAAAATGCCAAGCAGGACCTACATTACTCAGGAGGAAAAGGCACTCCCAGGACATAAGCCTATGAAAGACAGGCTTACTTTGTTGATGTGTGCTAATGCTAGTGGTGATTGCAAAGTGAAGCCTTTATTGGTGTATCACTCTGAAACTCCCAGAGTGTTCAGGCAAAAGAATATCCTCAAGGCTAATTTGTGTGTGCTGTGGAGGGCAAACAGTAAGGCATGGGTCACTAGGGACTTTTTCTATGACTGGTTACACCAAGCATTTGCCCCCAATGTGAAAAATTACCTAATTGAAAAGAAATTAGACCTTAAGTGCCTCCTGGTGTTAGACAATGCCCCTGGTCATCCTACAGACGTGGCAGAGCGACTTTATGGGGACATGAGCTTCATTAGGTGAAGTTTTTGCCTCCTAATACCACTCCTCTCCTGCAGCCCATGGACCAGCAGGTTATTGCAAACTTCAAAAAACTGTACACAAAAGCTCTGTTTGAAAGGTGCTTTGTAGTGACCTCAGAAACTCAACTGACTCTAAGAGAGTTTTGGAGAGATCACTTTAATATCCTCAATTGTGTAAACCTTATAGGTAAGGCTTGGGAGGGAGTGACTAAGAGGACCTTGAACTCTGCTTGGAAGAAACTGTGGCCAGAATGTGTAGACCAAAGGGATTTTGAAGGGTTTGAGGCTAACCCGGGGAATCTTATGCCAGTTGAGGAATCCATTGTGGCATTGGGAAAGTCCTTGGGGTTGGAGGTTAGTGGGGAGGATGTGGAAGAGTTGGTGGAGGAGGACAATGAAGAACTAACCACTGATGAGCTGCTAGATCATCTTCATCAGCATGAGGCCAGACCTGAGGAAACTGCTTCGGAGGAGGGGAGAGAGAAATTGAAGAAGTTGCCTACTTCAAAGATTAAGGAAATGTGTGGAATGTGGCTTAAAGTGCAAACCTTTTTTGATGACAATCACCCTAACACAGCTATTGCAAGCCGTGCTGGTGACTATTACACTGACAATGTTGTGAACCACTTTAGGAAAGTCATAAAGGAATGGGAGGTACAGGCCTCTATGGACAGATATGTTGTGCGACAGAAGTCCAGTGACTCTGAAGCTGGTCCTAGTGGCATTAAAAGAAGGGAAGTAACCCTGGAAAAGGACTTGACACCTCAAGTCTTAATGGAAGGGGATTCCCCTTCTAAACACTAAGACTCTCTCCTCCTCCCATCCCGTCAATCATCACCAGATCTTCAATAAAGGTAAGTGTCATGTAACTGTGCATGTCTTTTTCAGTTTATGTGTATTAAAATTAATATTTCATGTGGTAAAATTTTTTTTTTTTTCATACTTTGGGGTGTCTTGCACGGATTAATTTGATTTCCATTATTTCTTATGGGGAAAATTCATTCGCATAACGATAATTTCGCATAACAATGAGCTCTCAGGAACGGATTAATATCGTTATGCAGGGGTCCACTGTACATATGTAAGAAAGTAAGTACGTATGTAAGAAAGTAAATACACATGTAAGAAAGTATGTATGTATGTAAGAAAGTAAGTACAGTGGACCCTCGACCAGCGATGGCATCGATTAATGATAAATCTGACTAGCGATACATTTTATCGCAAAAATTTTGCCTCGATTAGCGCTGAAAAACTCGACCAACACTATTCGTTCCGTCGTTCCACTTCTGGCCAGTGTTTACAAGCCAGCCAGCCACCGCGGTCGCTTCCAAGCATACAATTGGAACATTTCATATTATCACAGCCTTTTTAGTGATTGCACCTGCAAAATAAGTCACCATGGGCCCCAAGAAAGCTTCTAGTGCCAACCCTACAGCAAAAAGGGTGAGAATTACTATGGATATGAAGAAAGAGATCATTGCTAAGTATGAAAGTGGAGTGCATGTCTCCGAGCTGGTCAGGTTGTATAATAAACCCCAATCAACCATCGCTACTATTGTGGCCAAGAAAACAGCAATCAAGGAAGCTGTTCTTGCCAAAGGTGCAACTATGTTTTCGAAACTGAGATCGCAAGTGATAGAAGATGTTGAGAGACTGTTATTGGTATGGATAAATGAAAAACAGATAGCAGGAGATAGCATCTCTCAAGCGATCATATGTGAAAAGGATAGGAAGTTGCATGACGATTTAATTAGAAAAATGCCAGCAACTAGTGGTGATGTGAGTGAATTTAAGGCCAGCAAAGGTTGGTTTGAGAGATTTAAGAATCGTAGTGGCATACATAGTGTGATAAGGCATGGTGAGGCTGCCAGTTCGAACCAAAAAGCAGCTGAAAAATATGTGCAGGAATTCAAGGAGTACATAGACAGTGAAGGACTGAAACCTGAACAAGTGTTTAATGGTGACACTGACAATGTTGTGAAACACTTTAGGAATGTCATAAAGGAACGGGAGGTACAGGCCTCTATGGGCAGATATGTTGTGCGACAGAGGTCCAGTCTCTCTCAAGCTGGTCCTAGTGGCATTAAAAGAAGAAGGGAAATAACCCCAAAAAAGGACTTGCCACCTCAAGTCCTAATGGAAAGGGATTCCCCTTATAAACACTAAGACCATCAACACACTCCCCTCTTCCCATCCCATCAATCATCACCAGATCTTCAATAAAGGTAAGTGTCATGTAACTGTGCATGTCTTCTTCAGTTTGTGTGTATTAAAATTAATATTTCATGTGTTAAAAATTTTTTTTTTCAATACTTTTGGGTGTCTTGCACGGATTAATTTGATTTCCATTATTTCTTATGGGGAAAATTAACTTGACTAACGATTATTTTGACTAACGATGAGCTCTCAGGAACGGATTAATAGCGTTAGTCGAGGGTCCACTGTATGTACAAGAATAGGTACATAAGTACGTAAATATATAAATAACTATGTACATAAGTAAATTTGTAAGTAGGTAAGTAAAAGTTGGACACAGTGATTTATTTCCACTGGAGTCCTTGTAACGACTTATTATTTAAACCTTAGAAGTTCAAACAGGTAACTCAACTATAAATAACAGTGTGACTTTGTCAATGGTCCAAGTCGGACCGAAACGTCGTCGTAAGCTTCTCTCTTTTATGTGCGGGTTATTTGTGTATAGGTAACTCAACTGTTTGAAGACAACTTACAATGAAAGGAGATATAATAATATAATATCTATATTTCTACAAGTACATGTACTGTACAAGGTATACAGACCATAGCTGACATCAATGACATACGTACTACTATATAGAAAGTCACTTGTTATGCTAAACATTTCCTGCAAATTAGGTCAGTTTTGTCCCAGGATGCGACCCACAACAGTCCACTAACACCCAGGTACCCATTTTACTGATGGGTGAGCATAGACAACCGGTGTAAAGAAACATGCCCAATGTTTCTACTCTCACCAGGAATCGAACCCGGACACTCGCTGTATAAAGTGAGAGCTTTAGCCACCAGGCCACAGAATAAGGCAAACTGTGTTATTGACTAGCAGCATTTCAGTTCTCAAGTAGTTCATCAGATTAATTATGGAGGTGCCAGTTGAGTAATTTACACAATACGCATATGGTAATTTACATATTACTATATGTCAGGTAATTTACGTGTGTGTGTTACACTATGATAATTTGTGTAACTGTATTTATGTGTACCTGTACCTAAACGGACTCATATACTGGTACACATGATCTGCAGTCTTTAATGACCCTCGTGTAGTTATTGGAGTTTTAAACTGAATAAATTAGCCCGTTCTTTTCCCCCCAGGTGCTGTATGACTCTTACAGGTTTGGGGCATTCCTTGAATACATGAGAATTTGCTGAGATGAGTATAATAAAGTTGAAGGATGGATAAAGAGGGCAAGAGGCTGGCTGAGGTGGTGAGGAGGACACACAAGCATCTCAGGAAGCAGTACAAGTTGGGTAATTATTTTTTTGATTTCCTTGATTTTGTACTGGATTAAATAGGCTACGGTCGACCCCAATGGAAATAAGTTACTTTGTCTGACCTTTTTTGGGGGGAGGTTATCCTGGGCAATTTACATACATGAACTGTGCATGATAATTGTAATTGCTTAAATTTGAGCAACTGTACTTGTGTGTATCTATATCTAATGTAACATAAGATTTGTTCAGATTTTTAACCCAGGGTAGGGAGGGCTAACCACCCAGGATAACCCAGGGTAAGGAGGGTTAGCCACCCAGGATAACCCAGGGTAGGGAAGGTTAACCCTTTCATGGTCCGTGCCGTAGATCTACGGCTTTACGTTGAGGGTTCAAACTGTAGATCTACGCCATGAGCTCAGCTCTCACTGAAAAGCTGTGAGTGGTAAATCTGGGCCTAGATATGAGAGAATACATCTATGTGGTATGTGTGCACCACATAAAACAAATCCTGCAGCACACAGTGCATAATGAGAGAAAAAACTGAGACCATAATTTTTGATTAAAACAGCAAATTTGCAGTGTTTTTTCGTATGTTTTTTATAGTTGTATTTTCAATTTCTTCGTCTCATTTGATAGAATGGAAGATATATTACAGAAATGGAGATGATTTTGATTGGCTTTAGTACTGAAAATGGCTTGAAACTGAGCTCAAATTAGCGGATATGTTAAATTTTTGCCGATGTTCAAGAGTAAACAAATAACCTCACACATCTAATACACGCCAGCTGGTGGGTCTAATATATGTTCACAAATGTGCTGATATTATTTATACAATTATTACAAAATTGCATTACAGTAAATGTTCTATTTTTTGGTTTGAATAAAAATTCATTATGTAAATTAAAAATCAAAATGGAATTCATTTGTAAAGCCTGAAAATGTAACTAATGAACAGAGGAAATATTAGTTTAGTGCCAGGAATGCCTGCATTGTTTATTCTGGATCCTATTTTGAAGTTGGAATATTTTGAACTTTGCACTAAATTGGCCAAATTGCCAGTTTTCAATCACTTTATTTTCTAATTGAAATAGTTGAGTTGGCGACTTCTTGTACTGAATCGATAGAATGGAAGTAATACTAGTGAAATAGCTAAGAATTTGCTCGGCTGGAATAATGTAACTGGCCGAAAATGGGAGTCAAAGTCGCAGAATCGCCGATGCATAAATATCGCTGACACATCAAAATTCGCAAGAGCATAATTTCATCAATTTTCCATCAAATTTCGTACATTTTGTTTTATTACCTTCAGAAAAAGATTCTCTACCACTTCATAAGACAAAATAACAAAATTATTTTTTGAAAATTCTTGGACACTGGTGCGCACTTTGAAATCTGGCCTCTGGACCCTGAAAGGGTTAACCACCCAGGATAACCCAGGAAAGTCAGTACATCATCGAGGACTGTCTGTCATATTTCTGTTGTGGTCCTTCAGTCTTGTCCCCCAGGATGCCACCCATACCAGTCCAGTAATACCCAGGTACCTACTGACTTGTTAGGTGAATAGGGACAAGAGATGTATGGAAACGTGTCTAATGTTTCCACCCGGCCAGGGATTGAACCACAGACATTCGATGTGAGGCCAGAGCGCTGCCTGCCAAGCCACAGATTTACTTAATAAACTAAACTTACTTATCTAAACACTACAATAGTCCTACTTGTCCATGTTGAGCACTACAGTAGTCCTACTGGTCCATGCTGAGCACTACAGTAGTCCTACTGGTCCATGTTGAGCACTACAGTAGTCCTACTGGTCCATGTTGAACACTACAGTAGTCCTATTGGTCCATGTTGAGCACTACAGTAGTCCTACTGGTCTATGCTGAGCACTACAGTAGTCCTACTGGTCCATGCTGAGCACTACAGTAGTCCTACTGGTTCATGCTGAGCACTACAGTAGTCTGATTGGTCCATGCTGAGCACTACAGTAGTCTGACTGGTTCATGCTGAACACTACAGTAGTCTGACTGGTCCATGTTGAGCACTACAGTAGTCCTACTGGTCCATGTTGAGCACTACAGTAGTCCTACTGGTCCATGTTGAGCACTACAGTAGTCCTACTGGTCCATGTTGAGCACTACAGTAGTCCTACTGGTCCATGTTGAGCACTACAGTAGTCCTACTGGTCCATGTTGAGCACTACAGTATTCTGACTGGTCCATGCTGAGCACTACAGTAGTCCTACTGGTCCATGTTGAGCACTACAGTAGTCCTACTGGTCCATGTTGAGCACTACAGTAGTCCTACTGGTCCATGCTGAGCACTACAGTAGTCCTACTGGTCCATGTTGAGCATTACAGTAGTCCTACTGGTCCATGTTGAGCACTACAGTAGTCCTACTGGTCCATGTTGAACACTACAGTAGTCCTATTGGTCCATGTTGAGCACTACAGTAGTCCTACTGGTCCATGTTGAGCACTACAGTAGTCCTACTGGTCTATGTTGAGCACTACAGTAGTCTGACTGGTCCATATTGAGCACTACAGTAATCCTACTGGTCCATGTTGAGCACTACAGTAGTCCTACTGGTTCATGCTGAGCTCTACAGTAGTTCTACTGGTCCATGCTGAGCACTACAGTAGTCTGACTGGTCCATGCTGAGCACTACAGAAGTCTGACTGGTCCATGCTGAGCACTACAGTAGTCCTATTGGTCCATGTTGAGCACTACAGTAGTCTGACTGGTCCATGTTGAGCACTACAGTAGTCTGACTGGTCCATGCTGAGCACTACAGTAGTCTGACTGGTCCATGCTGAGCACTACAGTAGTTCTTCTGGACCATGATGAGCACTACAGTAGTCCTACTGGTCCATGCTGAGCACTACAGTAGTCCTACTGGTCTATGCTGAGCACTACAGTAGTCCTACTGGTCCATGCTGAGCACTACAGTAGTCCTACTGGTCCATGTTGAGCACTACAGTAGTCCTACTGGTCCATGTTGAACACTACAGTAGTCTGACTGGTCCATGCTGAGCACTACAGTAGTCCTACTGGTCCATGCTGAGCACTACAGTAGTCTGACTGGTCCATGTTGAGCACTACAGTAGTCTGACTGGTCCATGTTGAACACTACAGTAGTCTGACTGGTCCATGCTGAGCACTACAGTAGTCCTACTGGTCCATGTTGAGCACTACAGTAGTCCTACTGGTCCATGCTGAGCACTACAGTAGTTCTTCTGGACCATGATGAGCACTACAGTAGTCCTACTGGTCCATGCTGAGCACTACAGCGGACCGGCTGGTTCATGTTAAGTAGGTCCTGCTCACCCACCTACATATTTATCTAGTCTATTTCAAAGCTACTTTTTGATGGGGAGGGAGTACCATGAAATAGGTAAAAGTTTCTTGATCCAGGAAATTGGAGCTACATTTTGCTTCCTTTGATGATATATTACCTCCCATTTCCCAGGTGCTCTGTGAATCCTGTAGGCTTTAAGCTTTGAGTATAGCAGTATTAAAAATGCACGTTATTCAGTAAGCCGCAATAAACCCTCAGCATAGTGGACCTTGGACCTTGGGTCGGTTGATTCAGAAACAGCGGACAGAGTTCGCTGGTTAAAGAATTATCAGTTATTGTTTTTGGTTAAAGACTCTCATCTCTAGCCACTACCACAAACACCATTACCAGTCATCTGCACTCCTCTGTTAGTGTCTTACCATAGGTTTACTGTATTTGTTTGATAAAATTTCTAAGATTAATGCTTATAATTTAATGCAACTCCAGTTTATAAGTAACTCAGGAGTGGACAGGATTCAAACTGTGGCATGGCAGTCCAAAGATTGCCATTTAGTGGTGAGAGCAGTGGGCTAGTAATTTTAAAACTGCCATGCCATGGGGTGAATAACTTGGTTTAGAACTGTGCCAGTATAACTCAGATTCATTTCCCTGGCACTACAGTGTTCCTACCTAATTTGCCCAGCACTGTGTGTCCTTTTTGGGTTTAATGCTTAGTTATGCTTGTAAATATAATACCTAATTTATCAGTTGTTGAAGATTAGAAGTTGGGTGGTGAATATTGCCAACAAATATGGTAGACATATTTGATGTAGAGCAAACCTTTATTGTGGACAATATTTGCTCTGAGTATAGTTTTATCATGCCTTGAAATTGCTCTGTTCAGCAAATCATCATTCATCATAAGAATTTCCTTGTCACCAATTGTCTGAATGTCTTTCTTCTATGTTGTAGTACTGAGGACAACTTATGTAAAACATTCTAATAGTGACCGGCTGTCAAGTACAGCTTACAAAATTCCTTCATTCTAAATTAAATAACCCCGGGTGTATGGGAGGAGGAGTAGCATGGAGCGTAACCCTTAAACGGTCCAAACAGATCGACATTCAAATTCGTAGTGCTACAAAAGTAGATCTACCTTTTTTTTACATTTTTTCAAATATAACAAAAGAAAAAATGTTGATAAAAGTTTTTTTTACACGTTTTCACATGTAAAACCAAAAAAAAAGATCTACATTTTTTTACATACTTTCAGATGTTGAAAAAACGTATATATACGTTTGGACCATTTAAGGGTTAAAACACATCTTCTGACAACCATAAACCCTCAAGTTAATGACCCAAAGTTTCTACACATTACACAAATATCATCCAGTTACAGGCATGTCTCATTAATGCAGTGCTCACTTTAGAGTACAGTGGAACCTCAAATATCGAACTTTCTTTGGTCCAGAAGGCTGTTCGAGTGCCTTTACCGAATGAATTTATTCCCATGAGGAATAATGTAAATTAGGTTAGTCCATTTCAGACCCTCAAAAATACACTTATAAAAGCACTTACAAAAATACACTTACATAATTGGTTGTGTTGGGAGCAGTTCGATTTTTGAGGTTCCGCTGTACTTGGCTAACATGGCACTTTTCAGTTATATTTGCGTTTATTATTTTCAGCTGTGACGCACACATTCGATTAGTATTGTAGCATTTTTTATTTATTATTCTTACTTTTGGCTTGCTGTATTGTGCATATAATAAATGATAGTGTAAATATGCTTGTAGGCTTTTAAATACACTGGCGAGTGAAAAAGTGGCTGCGATTCACTGTATGGCAGTTTGGAACTAACCCACAGTATTAGCAAGGTATGCCTGTACAGTAAGCCCTCAGTATTATAAGATTTTATATAAATGGCTTGGAAACACAGTACAAAATTTGCTGGTTCAGTCATTTCAGAAAGAAGGATTAAAGTTCATTAGTCCCATAGTTGTTAGTGTTGTTACTATCATGGCAAACTAATCTCTATCCACTATAACTGTCATTACTAGCCATCCTCCCCCTCTAATAATACATTCATTATATGGAGGGTTTACTGTACAGTGTTTCTTATATCAGATCCTGATCTAAATTTGTGTTTTTGTCACCAGTTTTTTTTTTTATTTTATTTTAAGGAGGTAAAAATGGAATTTCTTAGACGTTTGTGTATATTGACAAAAGTGTATACTGTACGTGTCAGGTGAAGATGCAGCACAAGTGTGGAAGCAACACACACAACATGAAGAGGATCTCCAGACATACGCCAATGCCATGCATACATTAGCTACCCAACACTGGGAGGCACGTCAACAGGTGTGTACAAATATCCTTCTGGCAAGACAGTGATGGAGTGAATGATGGTGAAAGTTTTTCTTTTTCGGGCCACCCTGCCTTGGTGGGAATTGGCCAGTGCGACAAAAAAAAAAATAAAATAAATGAAAAAAATAAGCAATCTTAAATTTCGCAACTACAGAATAATCTACTTGAGTTTATCACTTTACATGAGTATTATTATAATAAAAATAATAATAATAATAATAATAATAATAATAATAATAATAATATCCTTCCTCCTTAACCCGTAAACGGTCCAAGCAGATCTACGTTCACATTGTAGACAGCCTGTACTGTCTGCACAGACAGCCTATCCTGTCTGCCAGCTTAGTTCATATTTTGTGCCACTAAGGTTCTGCCCTCTGGGCCTGCTCCAGGTCTGTGGGATGCTGGTCCCACACACTTACACTCTCTCAGCGGCCAAGCAGCAAGACACAAGGCCTAGTAGCTCTCTCCTCTTGTGGGCATGGCCTACCGGGCCATGGGCACAACACACAAGCCTGTGTACCCACCACGACATTTGCTAATAAAGTAAGAAGCCTCCGAAGACCTTTATAATCCACACCCCGCTTTCAGTTCACCAAATAATCTCATTAAACATTGGTGGGAAGCGGTGGTTGCAGCAGTTGTGTTTGCCCGGAGAGAGGAAGGAAGAGGTATGAAGTCATCTTCACTTTATCACCCTATACAAGAAGCATCCGTCTCTCAACGAGTTATCCTGATGTCGTGTCTGCACGTTTCAGTATCCAGAGACAGGTACAAGCAGGATCTAGCCGAAATTTGGATGCTACAGCCTCCCACGCTGTTTCTCAAGCCACGTGTTCAGCATCACTTGTATGTTGCTGTTGTTGTTCAGCTCAGCACAGCTGTTTCAGCAAGCCAGAGGTGATTTTTGTGGTGATTTCTGCGTCCAGTGTGCGTTTCGCCGTGTTGTGGGTTTGAGAGGAGAAAGTGGCCAGATCCTCCCTAGCCATATACTCACACCTCACCAGCCTACCACCACACTCCACCACTATGTACTCACTCCCTCTGCTGTATTTTCTGCTGTTTTTCGTGTGAATTCATTGCCAGAGCTGTGTATCCGAGTGCAGAGGCCACTCGAAGCCACGTGGATCAACAAGCCACGTGCATCAGCAAGCCACATGGATCAGCAAGCCACGTGCATCAGCAAGCCACGTGGATCAGGAAGCTACGTGGATCGGCATGCCACGTAGATCACTCAAAGCCATGTTGATCAGCAAGCCATGTGGATCAGCAAGCCACGTGGATCAGCAAGCCATGTGGATCAGTAGGCCACATAGATCAGCATGCCACGTGGATCCCGACGCCATGTGGGGTGTGGGTAACTCACGTGGATCTACAAGCCACGTGAGTTACCAAGCCAGATGTCCCAGGCCACATGCTGTGGTCTGCCCACATCACATTGACGTCACTGACGATGCTGCCCAACTTCATGACGTCACGATGTCTGCCTGACGTCACCTCGAGATGTCTGCTGATGTCACAGTGCTGCTGACGTCACTGCGACGTCACGCCTGACATCACATGATGTTACATCGAGTGTTCTAGTAATTATTTCAGTATTAGCGAGAAGATTGAGAGAAGATATATGTCGTGTGTTAATTAATTCCTCTCAGTCAGTGTTCTCACATGTTAGTGTATGGCTTAGTGTCAGTTTTGTGCACAGAAAAGCATCTTTTGCTAGTTTAAGCCATGTTGTACCGCATGTACCGCGGGTGTGTGTAAAGTTTTCCGTGAGTCCAGTGTGAGACCCAGAGTAGCACCATTATGTTAGTCACCTGGTGTGACCAGTGCATTTGACAGCTGTTATCAGTCATCTCTAAGCCCGAGCCCCCTTGTACAGAAAGCTCTTATGCTCGTCGCTCGTGATGTTCTGCAGAATCGTACCTGCTACGATTCCCATCGAGATTTGTTTCACTTCACCTCCAGACCTTCAGAATGCAGTTATATGTAGAGAAACAAGTCTGGGGACGCTTAGACTAACTTCTGCTATAACTCCAACTGCCGAGAGAATGACACTCGTCAAGCCGCAGTTAGCCCTGTCGGCAGGCGCTGTGTCAGCCTCATGTCACAAGCTTCAGTGAGCTCCTGCACAAAGAAGATGTCACTTTGACTGCTAGCTTGCTCACTGCAGTCTGGTGTATGGTGTTACGACTCCCAGATGTTTCGCCCAGTCGTCTCTGCCATGACTCGCTCCACGCTCGCCGGCAGTGACAGCCCAGCGACAGTACCAGTCGAGAAGTGTCCTCCTGAGTCACTTGCCAGAAGTCCTGCCCAGTTGCCGAGTTTTGTCGACGCCTCACTCGAGGGCACCAGCATGTCGTGCCCCAGGTTGAGTGAAACCTGCAGTGACTCCTACGATGACTGCTTCACCGTTCTAGAGGAGCCCGTAACCTGTTACATCACAGCTCAGCCGCAGCTATGTCTCCTGTGTTGCAGTATCTGTCCAGGTGCAGGAACGCGTGCAGTGATGCCCATCGATGCTCACTGCCTATGACCACGATGTTTAGCACACCACATGTTTTTTTCTTCCCTCCCTGTAGGAAGTTTTTTTTTTCCATGTCCATATGTGTATATATATGTTTTTTATTATGTGTTCTGTGCCCTGTTCCTACGAGAGAGACCGAGTTTTTTTTACCACCAGTATTGTCGCGTTGGGACGACTCGAGGTAGTTGGCCGAGCGTATGTAGACAGCCTGTACTGTCTGCACAGACAGCCTATCCTGTCTGCCAGCTTAGTTCATATTTCGTGCCACTAAGGTGCTGCCCTTTGGGCCTGCTCCAGGTCTGTGGGATGCTGGTCCCACACACACTCACTCTCTCAGCGGCCAAGCAGCAAGACACAAGGCCTAGTAGCTCTCTCCTCTCTTGGGCATGGCCTACCGGGCCATGGGCACAACACACAAGCCTGTGTACCCACCACGACATTACAAATAAAGAAAGAAGCCTCCAAAGACGTTTATCATTTACTCCCCGCTACCAGCAACACCAAATAATCTCGTTATAACATGCGTAGTGCTCCAAAAGTAGATCTATGTTTTTTTTACATATTTTCAAATATAACAAAAAACAAAGTAGATCAAAGTTTTATTTACACGTTTTCAAATGTAAAAAAAAAAAGATTACTTTTTTTTACATACTATCAAATGTTGAAAAAACGTATATATAAGTTTGGACCGTTTACGGGTTAAGCCATGCATGTTGTAAGAGGCAACTAAAATGCTAGGAGCAAAGGGCTAGTAACCCCTTTCTCCTGGGCCATTACTAAGCAAAATTAAGGATTATTTTTAGGCCACAGTAAACCTTGGATAACTGAAACCGCAGAAACCGAATCCGTGGATACGGGTTCTACTTCATATTCTCTATTTCAGTGGTGAGTAAGACACGTGCAGCAGTTGGGTATCTTTATTGTTAAAACATTTCGCCTACACGGTAGACTTCTTCAGTCATATACAGAGGCAACAATTGTAGTAGCAAAGTAAAGATATAATCAGTCCATCAACTTTGTCCTACTCATCAACTTGTCACTATTTTATACCATTTTCAACATACCATTTTAAAATGTGTCAGTATTAGAAGCATCATTCATCAAAAGTGTAGCAAGGAAAATCCATTTTAACAGGACAACACTTTCATATGTCAGTATTATAAACATTTATCAAAGAAAATCCTTTTATTAACAGGTCAACACTTCCAGAGTAATTTGGATTCACAGTGCTATTATGGAGTACTTTCAAGGAGGTGAAATGCAGCGCACAACTGAAAAAGAAATGCGGAAGATAGAACACCTGGATTTAAAAGCGGACGATTCTGATTTAGCCAATGGGTCTGTAATTTATTACTGAAATATTTCAATTATAATCGTTATTTCCATTAATTTTACAAAAAAAGGGGAAGGAAATATTCATTATATTCAAAGTCTGCAGTTATTTATTGCCTTTTCTCAATAATAATTCTTGAGTCTTAGTACTGTATACCAGTTTGATCAAATTTTGCTGGAAATGTAGCAAGTCAGATAAAATCATAAGTATATACAATACTGTGCAATAAAATTAAAGTAAACAAGTGATATTACAATATGCAAAATAACCACTGCAAAAAAATAGTGAACTTCTAAGCACTTTTGTGATTTCTCACATTATCAAGGAACAGTTCTTTGATAATGTGAGAAATCATGAAAGCATTTGGACATTCACTATTTTTTTAGTGATTATTTTGCAAATACAGTATGTACTATGTATGATTCTCTTTTTTTCAGATGTAAGTTGCCATTAACTTCAAAAGTAAGACTGTTGGATGTGGGGAGCTGCTACAACCCTTTTCTTGTGTATGATGAGTTTGATGTGACGGCTATTGATCTTTGCCCTGCTCATCTGGTATGAACATTACTTCTTCACTTCTAGTACATTTAAATCAAATCACGGAACAGGTTAGGCTTGAACTCATGGCAAGCAAATCCTGAAACTCACAGGCCAGTGTTAACCACTTAGCCAGCTGGTTAACACACTGGTCTGTGCATTTTAACCCGTAAACAGTCCAAGCGCATATATACGTTTTTTCAACATTTGATAGTATGTAAAAAAAAGTAGATCTTTTTTTTTTTTTACATTTGAAAACGTAAAAAACTTTGATCTACTTTTTTTTTGTTATATTTAAAAATATGTAAAAAAAATGTACATCTACTTTTGGAGCACTACGCATGTGAACGTAGATCTGCTTGGGCCGTTTACGGGTTAAGGCTCTCTTGCCATATGCTCAAGTCCCACCCATTCCATGGTTTGATTGCAGTCGCGTTATTGTGATTTCTTGAGTCTTGATTATTGTATTTAGTTGATCAGAAAAAAAATATTGAGCACTAGTACTTTATTTTAATGAAATCAGTTCTAAAGTAGTTTTTTTCACATTCAGGGAATTTGCAAATGTGAATATACATTAATCCCCCCGTATCGACAGGTGATACATTCCAAAACCTACTGCAGATGCCCAAAACCATGGATAATAGTGAACCCTATATATGTCGTTTTTATTTACGTACATTCCTATGATAAAGTTTAATTGATAAATTAAGACATTACAAACATTAAATAATGGTAATAAAATACATTGTACATTATTATACTTAATGAGTGGAAGACTCGTTCTTCCGGTATGTCTTGGCGACTTCAGCATACAATTTTTTTTCTTGTTTTATCAAGATGAGAATTATCAATTTTTCACTGATGGGAATCACTTCAGGCCTCTTCTTAGGCTTCGAAGAACTGCCACCATCACTACTTTTACAATTTGGGTCCATTATAAGCAAAATGGTAACTGAATCTGCAAATACAGGGGTTCTACTGATCTCTCACAGAACTGTTAAAAATCTGCTGTAAATAAAATAGAAATGTTTCAAGAGAGGGAGACTAAGTCCCAGAATATACGTACATAATACTGTATTTAAACTAGGCATTTAAGATGTACAGAAGTAAATGATTCTAGTCATTGGTTTTAGTATTATTGTTCATTATTTGTATGTTAATATATTAAGACTTATTCATGTTAAGTACAGTGGAACCCTGGTTTTCGTATGCCCCAGCTTGCACGTAAAACCAGTTTTTTTTTTTTGTTTGTTTTTTAACAAGTCAGCCATCTCCCACTGAGGCAGGGTGATCCAAAAAGAAAGAAAATCGTCAAAAAGAAAATACTTTCATCATCATTTAAAACTTTCACCTCACTCATACATAATCACTGTCTTTGCAGAGGCGGTCAGATACAACAGTTTAGAAGTCCCTCCAAACTGTCAATATCCCAAACCTCTCCTTTAAAGTGCAGGCATTGTACTTCCCATATCCAGAGCTCAAGTCTGGCTAAATCTGTAATAACAGGTTTCCCTGAATCCCTTCACTAAATATTACCCTGCTCACACTCCAACAGCTTGTCAAGTCCCAAAATCCATGTGTCTCCATTAACTCCTATCTAAAAACACACACACACACACACACACACACCACACACACACACACACACACACACACACACAACACACACACACACACACACACACACACACACACACACACACACACACCCCACACACACACACACACACACACACACACACACACACACACACACACACACACACACACACACACACACACACACACACACACACACACACACACACACACACACACACACACACACACACACACACACACACACACACACACACACACACACACACACACACCACACACACACCACACACACACACACACACACACACACACACACACACACACACACACACACACACACACACACACACACACACACACACACACACACACACACACACACACACACACACACACACACACACACACACCCCACACACACACACACACACACACACACACACACACACACTCTTGCTGGAAGTCCAAGCCCCTCACCCACAAAACCTCCTTTACCCCAACCCTCCAACCTTTTCATGGATGACCCCTACCCCTCCTTCCTTCCCCTACAGATTTTTACACTCTCCAAGTCATTCTGCTTTGATCCATTCTCTCTAAATGACCAAAGCACCTCAACAACTCCTCTTCAGCCCTCTGACTAATACTTTTAGTAACTCCACACCTCCTCTTATCAGTTATTCTCCATAAAATGTACTTTTTTTTTTTTTATTTTTGGGTGTCTGGAATGGATTAATTGGATTTACATTATGTATTTCTTATGGGAAATATTATCAAAAAATACATTTTATAGAGAATAACTGTGGTTTTACGTGCAAGCTGGGGCATACAAAAACCAGGGTTCCACTGTACAGTAATGACAATATACTGTATCCTATGCCTGCCTTTTTTTTTATTTCAGTCTGTGAAAAGATGTGATTTCTTAAGCTTAGAAGTTTGTACTGAAGTTAGAAAAGAAGAAGATATCAAAAATTCTAGAGGATCAGACAAATGCCAAACAACTAACATATCCCCAACAAATATTCTACTAGAAACAAATTCATCATCAAATATATCAAGGAATTTAAAACATAATGGCAACACAGAACTAGTTACATCATCTGTGTGGGATGAAAAATTAAATGCAGTAATAGTGCAAGATAAATGCAACTCTGAAATTTTTGAAACTGTTGGGGGAACAAACCTTACAGAAATATCTCTACAAAAAACATGTTTACAAAACATTGAAAATGAAAGTATTGTAGAAAACACCTCGAGCTCCGGAACCAATTTAGAAAACACACAGGATAGTGAAAATAAAAGTTTGGTAGAAAACACCTCGAACTCCAGAAGAATTTTTAATACTGAAGTAAGAGAGTCAGGTGCTAGTATTAACGAAGTTACATATTTGCAAGGGAGTTCCTTTGATGTAGTGGTCTTCAGTCTGCTACTTGAATACATACCTTCACCAATGCACAGATTCTTGTGTTGTCAAAAAGCGTACAACCTTTTAAAACCAAATGGCATCTTCTGCATTATCACTCCTGATAGTAAACACCAGAATGCTAACGTGCATCTCTATAAACTCTGGAAGATATCTCTTGGTTATTTAGGCTTTGCGAGGATCAAGTATGAAAAACATACCCACTTCCATGGCATGGTGTTCCGCAGGGGATTGTGTAAACAGGCCTGGCAACTGGATGCTACAAGGCAATTGTCTTTCATGAAAAAAATTAATATAAAGAAGAAGTTTGCAGGGATAGACTATAACAAAATAAGTAATGAAATGTATATTCCTCAAGATTTTCAGGATCTCTCAGACAGTGAAGAGGTACCAAATTATGGAGGAAAATCAGATTAAATCTAAAATTTTTTTTTTTGTGGTACAAAAATAATGTAGTTTACATGTTATAAAACACTAGTAGGCCCAAAAGAAAGTCATTAATATGCAAAGTGTTTTTGGCATGTGACAGTTGCATCAGGTAACCCTTCATGAGGGATGCCTTGATACCAGCTAAGAGCTCTTGATTCAAGGAATTAGGCCTGCCTTCTCCAGTAGTCTTAAAAGTAAATGGTCATAACTATAATTTTTAAAGGGGTGGACCAGTAAGCCAGTGTAAGGCCTCAGTCAGATGATCAAAAGTTCTAGCTGTGGGTCATCACATGACCAAGACCAGCATCTGGAAACACTTGTCCTGTTTCCTGACAAACCGTACCTAACCTAACCTGAAGACCAGCGTCAGGAAACACTTGTCATGTTTCCTGAAAAACCTTACCTAACCTAACCTGAAGACCAACGTCAGGAAACACTTGTCCTGTTTCCTGACAAACCTTACCTAACCTAACCTGAAGATCAGCATCTGGAAACACTTGTCCTGTTTCCTGACAACCCTTACCTAACCTATCCTGAAGATCAGCATCAGGAAACACTTGTCCTGTTTCCTGACAAACCTTACCTAACCTAACCTGAAGACCAGCATCAGGAAACACTCATCCTGTTTCCTGACAAACCTTACCTAACCTAACCTGAAGACCAGCATCAGGGAACACTTGTCCTGTTTCCTGACAAACCTTACCTAACCTAACCTGAAGACCAGCATCAGGAAACACTTGTCCTGTTTCCTGACAAACCTTACCTAACCTAACCTGAAGACCAGCATCAGGAAACACTTGTCCTCTTTCCTGACACCTTACCTAACCTGAAGACCAGCATCAGGAAACACTTGTCCTGTTTCCTGGCAAACCTTACCTAACCTAACCTGAAGACCAGCATCAGGAAACACTTGTCCTCTTTCCTGACACCTTACCTAACCTGAAGACCAGCATCAGGAAACACTTGTCCTGTTTCCTGATAAACCTTACCTAACCTCTCCAGTTATATGACCCTTTTGGATTTAGCACTTCAAAAATTATAATAATTCATTTGAAAGTAATAATTGCCTTTGGTGGTACACAGTAATTTTTTTCGTTGGCTCATTATGTGAAAAGTATTACTATTATAATCAAAAAAAGGTGAAAAGTATTGATACCTCAAACCATTGATACTTAATAAGAAAAGTTCATTGACATGCATAATTTTTTCTTAAAACCATTTTGAATATTTTTTTTTGGTGGTGTTGCCTCCCATTTTCTTTGAGTGGGTGGATGGGTGCCTCATGAAAATAGGGGTATGTTGTGATGGGATTATGTATACTCTCTGTGGGTTTAGTGCTCCCCTTATGGTGATGGTAATAATAATTTTGAGTTCTCCCACACTGAAATTTTTTATTAAACTGGAAATCTGTCTTTCTTTGGTGTATTTTGAGCACTTGCCAACTCTTAAAGAAAGTTTACCTGGAGTTTACCTGGAGAGAGTTCCGGGGGTCAACGCCCCCATGGCCCGGTCTGTGATCAGGCCTCCTGGTGGATCAGAGCCTGATCAACCAGGCTGTTACTGCTGGCTGCACGCAAACCAACGTACGAGCCACAGCCCGGCTGGTCAGGAACCGACTTTAGGTGCTTGTCCAGTGCCAGCTTGAAGACTGCCAGGGGTCTGTTGGTAATCCCCCTTATGTGTGCTGGGAGGCAGTTGAACAGTCTCAGGCCCCTGACACTTATTGTATGGTCTCTTAACATGCTAGTGACACCCCTGCTTTTCATTGGGGGGATGTTGCATCGCCTGCCAAGTCTTTTGCTTTCGTAGTGAGTGATTTTCGTGTGCAAGTTCGGTACTAGTCCCTCTAGGATTTTCCAGGTGTATATAATCATGTATCTCTCCCGCCTGCGTTCCAGTTTTAGGAACCTCAAGCGCTCCCAGTAATTGAGGTGTTTTATCTCCGTTATGCGCGCCGTGAAGGTTCTCTGTACATTTTCTAGGTCAGCAATTTCACCTGCCTTGAAAGGTGCTGTATAATTTATTTACATAAATGAGAACACCATTTTGTGACATACATACATACATACATACATATATATATATATATATATATATATATATATATATATATATATATATATATATAAGGGGCTAGTAACCCCTTCTCCTGTATATATTACTAAATGCAAAAGGAGAAACTTTCGTTTTTCCTTTTGGGCCACCCTGCCTCGGTGGGATACAGCCGGTGTGTTGAAAGAAAGATATATATATATATATATATATATTATATATATATATATATATATATATATATATATTATATATATATATATATATGCAATAATATCACAGTAAACAGGTGATTTCAGAATGTGCAAAACAACCATTGTGAAAGAATAGAGAAATTCCAAGCGCTTTCGTGACTACTCACATTATCAAGGAACTATAGTTCCTTGATAATGTGAGTAGTCACGAAAGCGCTTGGAATTTCTCTATTCTTTCACAGTGGTTGTTTTGCATATACGTATATATATATATATATATATATATATATATATATATATATATATAATATATATATATATATATATATATATATATATATATATATATATATATTGCTGATGATACTGTGCTTATGGGAGATTCTAAAGAAAAATTGCAAAGGTTAGTGGATGAGTTTGGGAATGTGTGTAAAGGTAGAAAGTTGAAAGTGAACATAGAAAAGAGTAAGGTGATGAGGGTGTCAAATGATTTAGATAAAGAAAAATTGGATATCAAATTGGGGAGGAGGAGTATGGAAGAAGTGAATGTTTTCAGATACTTGGGAGTTGACGTGTCGGCGGATGGATTTATGAAGGATGAGGTTAATCATAGAATTGATGAGGGAAAAAAGGTGAGTGGTGCGTTGAGGTATATGTGGAGTCAAAAAAAAGTTATCTATGGAGGCAAAGAGGGAATGTATGAAAGTATAGTAGTACCAACACTCTTATATGGGTGTGAAGCTTGGGTGGTAAATGCAGCAGCGAGGAGACGGTTGGAGGCAATGGAGATGTCCTGTTTAAGGGCAATGTGTGGTGTAAATATTATGCAGAAAATTCGGAGTGTGGAAATTAGGAGAAGGTGTGGAGTTAATAAAAGTATTAGTCAGAGGGCAGAAGAGGGGTTGTTGAGGTGGTTTGGTCATTTAGAGAGAATGGATCAAAGTAGAATGACATGGAAAGCATATAAATCTATAGGGGAAGGAAGGCGGGGTAGGGGTCGTCCTCGAAAGGGTTGGAGAGAGGGGGTAAAGGAGGTTTTGTGGGTAAGGGGCTTGGACTTCCAGCAAGCGTGCGTGAGCGTGTTAGATAGGAGTGAATGGAGACGAATGGTACTTGGGACCTGACGATCTGTTGGAGTGTGAGCAGGGTAATATTTAGTGAAGGGATTCAGGGAAACCGGTTATTTTCATATAGTCGGACTTGAGTCCTGGAAATGGGAAGTACAATGCCTGCACTTTAAAGGAGGGGTTTGGGATATTGGCAGTTTGGAGGGATATGTTGTGTATCTTTATATGTGTATGCTTCTAGACTGTGTATTCTGAGCACCTCTGCAAAAACAGTGATAATGTGCGAGTGTGGTGAAAGTGTTGAATGATGATGAAAGTATTTTCTTTTTGGGGATTTTCTTTCTTTTTTGGGTCACCCTGCCTCGGTGGGAGACGGCCGACTTGTTGAAAAAAAAAAAAAAAAAAATATATATATATATATATATATATATATATATATATTATATATATATATATATATATATATATATATATATATATATTATATACAGTGGACCCCTGCATACCGTCGGCATCACATAACGTACAATCCGCATACCGCTCGCTTTTATCGCAAAAATTTTGCCTCGCATACCGCTCAAAAACCCGCTCACCACTCTTCGTCCGAGACGCGTCCAATGTGCGCCCTTAGCCAGCCTCACATGTGCCGCTGGTGGCATTGTTTACCAGCCAGCCTCCGCGGTAGCATCCAAGCATACAATTGGAACATTTCGTATTATTACAGTGATTTGGTGATTTTATCTGCAAAATAAATGACCATGGGCCCCAAGAAAGCTTCTAGTGCCAACCCTACAGCAATAAGGGTGAGAATTACTATAGAGATGAAGAAAAAGATCATTGATAAGTATGAAAGTGGAGTGTGTCTCCGAGCTGGCCAGGTTGTATAATAAACCCCAATCAACCATCGCTACTATTGGTGGTACAGCTGCTGCTGCTGCTGCTGCTGTACCACCGTCAGCTGCTGCTGCTGCTGTAGTACCGTCTGCTGCTGCTGTAGCATCGTCTGCTGCTGCTGTAGCACTGTCAGCTGCTGCTGCTGTTGTACCACCGTCAGCTGCCGCTGCTGCTGTTGTAGTACCGTCTGCTGCTGCTGTAGTACCGTCTGCTGCTGCTGTAGCATCGTCTGCTGCTGCTGTAGCATCGTCTGCTGCTGCTGTAGCACTGTCAGCTGCTGCTGCTGCTGTACCACCATCAGCTGCTGCTGCTGCTGTAGTACCGTCTGCTGCTGCTGTAGCATCGTCTGCTGCTGCTGTAGCATCGTCTGCTGCTGCTGTAGCATCGTCTGCTGCTGCTGTAGCACTGTCAGCTGCTGCTGCTGTAGCACCGTTGTTGGTGTGGCTTATTGAGAATACCAAGAAACAATTAACCCCAGAGGATTTGCCACCCAGGATAACCCAAAAAAGTCAGTGTCATCGAAGACTGACGTCTAACTTATTTCCATTGGGGTCCTTAATCTTGTCTCCCAGGATACAACCCACACCAGTCGACTAACACCCAGGTGAACAGGGAAAAATGCCTGGAACTAGTGCTCATATTGGTGAATTGAAAGCCAGCAAAGGTTGGTTTGAGAGATTTAAGAATCGTAGTGGCATACACAGTGTGATAAGGCCTGTTCTGGAAGAAATTGCCAAACAGGACCTACAGTACTCAGGAGGAAAAGGCACTCCCAGGACACAGTGTCTCATCAGTCATTGCTGCATCTTCAATAAAGGTAAGTGTCATTTATTCTTCATTTAGTAGAGTAATACATGCACAATATATATTGTGCATGTACTACTCTACTATTGTGCATGTATCCTTCTCTCTGTGTGTAGGAAAATGTATATTTCATGTGGTAAAATTTTTTTTTTCATACTTTTGGGTGTCTTGCACGGATTAATTTGATTTCCATTATTTCTTATGGGGAAAAATTCATTTGCATACCGATCATTTCGCATAACAATGAGCCCTCTTGCACGGATTAAAGTCGCTATGCGGGGGTCCACTGTATATATATATATATATATATATATATATAATATATATATATATATATATATATATATAGTAGGGGATCTGAATGCTAAAGTAGGAGAAACTTTTAGAGAGGGTGTGGTAGGTAAGTTTGGGGTGCCAGGTGTAAATGATAATGGGAGCCCTTTGCTTGAACTTTGTACAGAAAGGGGTTTAGTTATAGGTAATACATTTTTTTAAGAAAAAGAGGATAAATAAGTATACAAGATATGATGTAGGGCGAAATGACAGTAGTTTGTTGGATTATGTATTGGTAGATAAGAGACTGTTGAGTAGACTTCAGGATGTACATGTTTATAGAGGGGCCACAGATATATCAGATCACTTTCTAGTTGTAGCTACACTGAGAGTAAAAGGTAGATGGGATACAAGGAGAATAAGAAGCATCAGGGAAGAGAGAGGTGAAGGTTTATAAACTAAAAGAGGAGGCAGTTAGGGTAAGATATAAACAGCTATTGGAGGATAGATGGGCTAATGAGAGCATAGGCAATGGGGTCGAAGAGGTATGGGGTAGGTTTAAAAAAAGTAGTGTTAGAGTGTTCAGCAGAAGTTTGTGGTTACAGGAAAGTGGGTGCGGGAGGGAAGAGGAGCGATTGGTGGAAAAGATGATGTGAAGAGAGTAGTAAGGGAGA